GCTACTCTGTCCCGTCCATTTCTGCTTTCCTGCCGTTTCGAACCAAATACATCCCAGGTATTGCTAGCTGAATCACAAAAACATTTGAATTTGATAGTCAACCAAGCACATGCATGAGGCAAACCATGCAACATTCAGAAGAAGTGTTGACGACATAAAATTGGCCTGATTTGGCAACCGTTACCTGTGGTAGTTACACAACATAATTGCCGTACCTGTGTCAGTTGGTTTCATTTGCACCAATCTCTTACAGTGAAGTTCATTACATGGTAGCTATTCATGGGACTTATCCTTGAAAAACCATCTGAGACTATACGGTTATTTAGTAAAACTAGGCTAAAATATGTCACCGAGTTCCCTGAACTCTAGTGGGGTACTTGTCAGATGGCGGGTTGAGAGAAAAAGATGAAAGTTCATGACCGGTTAAAAGCTTCAGATTTTAGGCGGTGTTGAAACTATAGTACAGCAAAACGTATGATCCGGGGTTTTTTCACTAGACCACCATATTTGGATTTAATATCGGATAATCATCTATATAGGTTAGGGAGGAATTATCAAATACTGTTGACGAAATTAGACTGTCGGAACCTTAGACGTCTGTTTGGTATTACTGGAGTTCAGCTTATTTATCCAGTAATTTATCCATTTTATTTCATCTATTGACCAATTGTAAATGCTGGTGTAGAGGGTTTATTATCTATAGTTAAGTAACATATTGCGTACACTGCTACAACGGTGCATCCAGTAAATATTTAAATTGGAGCTGTTTGTGTACTTACAAGATATTTATTCACGGTATATCACCATACGAAGCATAAATATACATGGTTATGCGTGCCATTTTACGGGATATGACATAAGACTAGTCTCTCTGGAAGTAACAGCAAAATGTTATTAGGTTTCATAAACATTGCAAATAATCATATAACGCAATCATGAGACCAGCCCACGTTACATTAGCGCTTACGTAATGGACATTTGGAGCAGTCAGTTAGCTGACGCAATATATAAATGTGTGATCTATAAATCAATGAGAATTTCGATCAAATGCGGTGTGTTCACATGGCGCTTAACATGGGTATAGGTATAGGTCGCGAAATAATTCAAGCCAAATGCGTGCCGACGATTAAATGAACGATCAAAATGCGGTCTAGGATTGCGGAAAACCTTTGACGTCTTTCCTTACTATATGATCAACAATCCAAAAACATACACTAGTGAAGATAATTATCTTACTAAGTCGCGTAGCTCAAACACTTGCTCAGTGTAGATCACTAATATGTTCTATCTGTATAGGTGAAGAAGGGACTATTCAAGCCAGGCGAAAATAGCGTAACTTGCAGTTAATGCCTGACGCAGATTATCTTTTCTTCCTAATAGATTGATATGGCCACGTTGAGGACCTTATAGTACAAACAACGTTTTACAGAAATGTATTGTTAAGAATATGTATAAGAAACACAGTACCATTACTGCCATTTGTGTCTGTCCAAGTCTTGCAAATAATTAGCGTGTTGTTTCTCCTTGATATTGAAGAGGATCGCCGAGCCGTTTGTTGCTCAGAGATCGGACTGTTGAACGATTTGGCTAGGTTCAAGTGACATTTCGCTGACCTGATAGATTAAATAGAACTGGTCTGAATTACAGTTTCTGGAACACAAGTTTGCAGTCAAAATCTGTGAAATTTACATCTATAGATTCCATCACTAATATTATCAAATAAGAATCAGATACTCAAAATAAAAAAAGAATTTTACATGTAGGAAAGAATATATAAAGTGAAAAAAGACTGAAACTCACAAGAAGATCTTCAAAACTTCAAACTATTGGCCCAACAATGAAGATCCATGAACGTCAGAAAAAGAACTGTTTCCTATCAAAAATTTTCAGAAATCGGATATTGTTTTTCTGATTTTTGTTCATTATCCTATGATAATGATTGCTTATGAATCCGCTTCCTCTGCTTATTGTTTGTCTAAGGTATATGCTTGATCAATGAATCACTATCGGCGATTAGAAGGGCAAATAAATGTTAACATTTTCGAAATTGGTGTCAGTATATATATATATATATATATATATATATATAATTATCCATTTTTACTAGTAATCCTCATCCTGTAAAAAGGAATTGTTCCAAGATATTGAAAAACATACTGTACTTGTGATGTGTTTAGCATCGCTATATTGGTGATGAAATTATGGCCCACATTGCAATCTGAGATTTTTGGAAATATTCACAGCCAGACTCTCGACTACAAAACATGAAGCCAGATAGTTCTCAGAACTTTATTCTTCGTATATATATACACATTATTCATGCTCTTCTATGGATGATATTGATATCAACTTAATATGTATGATAATATAACCCCAAAAAATCAAAGAGAGATGTATAGAAAAATTACCTGAGTGAACGAGGGAGAAACAAAAGAAAACCACACTAGGGAGTCCTTTCTATATCCTACCGTAAATAAATATTGAGTTTTTTCCTATTTTTGTTGCCCTGGGTCAAAAATATGACTGAATTTACGTCGAATTGTCTACTCAGGTGAATATTAGGGAAAAAGACAAATTATTAGCCATCAGCTCAGTAATATTTCAAACACAGGGTGACGAAAAGAGGAAAATGTCTCATTTCTTGCTTATGCTGGGCTACAAAGGAAACGTTTTGGTGCGTTACCTTTTATTTCCTCCGTGTTTGTCTTTATTTTCCCTCTTTGGTTTGCTTTAGTTATCACCTTGATTTACATCAAAATATTATTTAAATAATTACCTATTTTGGTTACAGAATCTAACGGGTAGAATATCTAGGCAAATGTTCTAAAACAAGTTTAAGTCTTTCTTCAGTTATTAGAATACTAGGTTGCTGAATCTGTGTTAATCCTGATAGATTACCTTTCAGTGAAGCTCCAGCTTCTTCTTGAAAATATTCAATGATGGGCTGACACCACTTGTTCGGGTAAGGCATTCCAGTCATTGACTACTCGATGAGAAAAACGGTACCCCACTTTAACTTGGTTAGATCGCAGTTTTTGAACCTTCTTGCTATAACCTCGTAGATTATTAGTGCTGGAGGGAGCAGACAGATAAGACATATTAACATCCGAATCATAAATAAAAATACAAAATGTCAATATAAAGTCACCTACGATAAGGCAAGGAGGTGTTTAGGCGTCTTAAGCGCTCATCGTATGGAAGTTTAGAAAAATCCTTCACTAATTTTGTTTCCACACGCTGAACACGCTCAAGTGAGTGAGTATCCTTTATCAGACATGGGCTAGATGCTTGAATACAGTACTCTAAGTGTCGTCTTACGTAGGTGGGATATAAAATTCGAAATATATCCTCGTCAAAGCATTTGAATAATAGGCAAAGTGACCATAACGCACGACAACGTTTGACAGCAGCTGTGTTGCGATGCGTAGTTGTTTCCAAGTTATGACTTATTATTACTCCTAAGTCTTTATGATCTCGGACGCGTGGAAGAGGTTTACCATCATGGGTATAACTATAACTATTACCGTGTCCGATGTGCATGAACACACTCTTCCTGGAATTAACTTCTAAGCCCCGACTTTTAGCCCATCTAACTAATTCATCTAATTCAGCTTGGAGATCCCAACGATCAGCCCCACCTTGTATTATTCTCCAGATTTTTACATCATCCGCAAACAACACTGTCGACTACTTAGGCAACAGCGGTAATTCATTGGCGTGGAGAAGGAAATGTAGAGGGCCTAAGATGGTGCCTTGGGATACACCAGAATCAAAATTTTGAGCTAGTTAGAAAATATATCGACGGGAGTGTTATAAAGCATTATCCATCGGATGGGTCCAAATTTATTCAATTTTATAATTCAGAAAGTGGGATTTTAAACGTAATGATTCTGACTTTACGTCTGAGAAATATATGTCAGATTCGGATAGGAAAGTTCCATAACAGTTTACAAGTGCAAGCAAGTGATAGCTACTCTTTTTTAGAATCAAATACAACCAATAACTCATATTACCGCTTCTCTTCAGGAACCGAAGCACGTATCATGACTAATGCTTTTAATTTATCATAGGGTGGCTCGTAGAGACGTGGTCAGCAATTTTATTCACTTTCGCTGGGATGATGATAAGAAACGCAAAGTCCAAGTGTTTGTAATGCCAGGACTTTATTCAAATAATGCTCACCAAAAGCTGCTTCAATTTATGCAAACTATCTAAGTAGTCTTTAGCTCATCGAATTTCCAATAGTTGCAGTGGCTAATAGAATTCATCGGTTTTCATATTGAATTGACGATAATAGTATGCTATAGTGAGAAAATCACCTGTATTATGTTCAACCAGAAGTCGGATAATTTCAGCTTAACAGTATAGATGCTGCAAACTTAAGCTAAAAAGATATGATCTTACCATACTTTGCCCCAAATATGTATTCTAAACCAACATTGACCGTTATCAGCTATTAAACGCAGTTAATTTGAGTTGAAAATCTAAAAAATTGTAGGGGCTTTCACATTGTTGATGCTATCATTATTCTTGTGATCAAGTTTTCAATCTTATGATATACATGCATTGATACATATTTCACATCAAATTTAGGAATGTCGGATGTTTAAGCACCTTCTGTGTTATGGTAGTATTATGTGGATTGGTTTATATACTTAATTGGAAGTCTAGTATGTTGTCTTACCCTTCTTTCTACAGTTGATATTTTTATATGCGATCACTCAAACGTCTTTCACGTTCTGTCATCCACTTCTTACACTGACCTATCGATCAGTGTATAGTGTATCACATTTCTTGCTACAGCTGTTGTTGGTGTTTTTGTCTCAAAATCTGTATCATGCGATAATGCGAGTGCCAAAAATAACTTATTTACAACGGCAATTTTTCGTCATATTTAGCTACGAGAACTCCATCATGACTGAAATAACTCCCATTTTCATTATTTTCAGATTACGCTTCGTTATAAAGATAAAATATTCGTTAGTTTAACTTTACACATCATGGAGACAGAACATTACTCTATCATGTGTTACGATGGCGTTGAACGAACTTTTAAGTGTCAGTCCACTCAGACACTTGAAGAGGATATGGATATACATTTTGAAGTTGACTCAGATAGTAGATGAGCAGCATTACAATAAAATTTGTGAATAATTTATTTAGTAGATGCTGTTACTAGTGAAGGAACTGAAGATATAGATATTATGGGTGACGAATACACAGAAAGCCGAGAAGAGAACGAAAGTCCTGATTTTGATAATATGAGTATGTTTATTCATATTAGATGAACTCTTTTTTCCAGGGAAATCTGTGTCATTTCGAGAAACTCCAGTCGAACTCATTGCTCCGGCTAAATATGTGGACGATGAATATGGAGTGGAAAGTGCATCAGATTCGGCTTCTGATAAGGAAGAAGTAAGTGTTAGACATATCAGCAAGAAAATCGATAAATAATCAAGAGAGTTATATGATTTATTTTGTCCAACAGATAGTCTACCAGAAGTGTAAACACGATACTGACCAGTTTATCTGTTTCAATATTGCGCGTCGTATCGAAATGAATAGAAAATTATGAGTCTCGGTCACACGCAACAAGGATAGTCGAGAAATTTTGACCTTTACTTCATACTTGTTTATATATATATATATATATATATATATATATATATATATATATGCAAGGTGAATCTATATTTGGTAAACTGTTGAAAATGACTGATTCGTTCAATAAATCTGGTTTAAACTTTTTTGACCTTCTGATCTTTGAAAACATTCTTTTACGACAATAGTAGGTTTTTTATTGATACATATAGAAAAAAACTACGGGGTCTTAGTAGTGAATTGAACATTACAAATTCTGGCCAAATCACTCTATGTCATCGATGAATTAACATGAAAAAAAATATAAACTATTTTTTCAATCCAAATATTTATTTCGTAAAAGTAATTTTCTAACAATGATGTATCTACCTAAATTTAGATTTTGGTAAGAGATATCATGGTTAAAAAGTACGCCGTTTTTCACTGACGAAGATTCTCACCATGTGTTTATAAAGTAGTCTATAAAAGCTTATAATGTTCCAGAATCAGTAAAGAGTACGTTAGCAATTAAACTAATTCATGATATACACCAGTGGAGATATATAGTTAATAAACATAATTCATGTACCACTTTTAAGTGTTTAGATTTAACGGACTATCTGATTTCTAGTCTTTCTTTGACGTCAGAATGACCAATAAATCTTTATTTCTGGTTTAATTCCTTTTCAGTAGCACTGTTTAAAGATATCTATAACTAAGCTAAAAATTTCCTGATACACAAGATTATCATGTGGATTAAAAATGTAAACTAATTAACATCTCATTTATATCTGTCTATTGTTCTTCATAGAAAATATTGCCCAATTAGTACTCTTGTAGTAAACGAGAACACATATGGGGACGATCGAATGTATTCTAATACAAAATTACAGAATATCTTGGTGAAATCTGAGAATCATACAGTAATTACTTCATTTGCAAAATGTCAACCAATTTCCTCAAACTTGACTGTTCCTTCTGCAAATGTCAGTCAATCGTCTCACACTTCATTGTTTTTTCGATTCCACATTAATCGTTCTTTGTTCTAGTTCTATTTTCTTTGATCTTCTACTGCCAGGCATTTCACCTTTGATTGATGATACATACTACTTATATCTGTCAAGATCAGTAGCACATATCACACTCTTAATGGACGATGGCAACATAGAATTAGTTTTCTTTTTATGACATGTACGATTAAGTTAAAGGCGTTTGTTCTGTATTACTTATAATTTACAGCCTACCGTTAATCCCAGAATAAAGTCTAAACTATTGTTAACCTTTTCATTTTGGCCGTAATGTTTACAAAGTTTCATTTAGTATACATACATACAAATTCTTACAACTATTTTAGTACTGTTTTTTAAGTAATTTCAAGTGAATACGTTACCGAACTGCATACGTTTGATCAATTAGTATACAACAAAGAGTAATTTAGTAGTCATAAATTTAAGTCAGATATACATAGTTAGTGATGTTCTTTGAATTCTGTTTTAATTTGTACAGTTTTCCTATTTTCTGTGTATGTTTATTTTTATTCCGAACTGTTATTTATATTGTCTTAATGGCAAAATAAGTTGCAAACATCAGAACTGCCAATAAATTAAATATATATATATATATATATATATATATATATATATATATATATATGACATGGAATTAAATTTATTATGATTTTGCCCAAAATATCCAATCAAAGTAGTATAACAATTGGTTATGTCAGTTAACAAATGAATAATCAAGGTTAAATGGACATGAAAGTTATCGAAACAATCTGACATTATTCATTTCGATCAATCGTGATTCATAATTTATATTTTCGTTAATTGTTTCAAAACTAAATACATGATTGTTCTAACGAGATCAACTCCGTAAAAGTGTAATATATGCATTAGATTAAATGATTCTTGTAATAGTCATGTAGTTTTGAAACCACTTTTCAGACAATGAATAGTTTGTATGCATCAAAAGTATTTCAGAACGAAAGAGAAACATCTTGGAGTTTAATAGTTTCATTAGTTTTACTAGACTGATAACCAGTTAACTAATCTTAATATTGTAGAAATCTAAGTAAACAGTCTAATTATTCTGATTGTCAATATGAATCACATTAAAGTTTTCTTTCTGGTTAGCAAAAAAATAGTATTATGGAAAATGCATCATCATTTACAGAATCTTGACAAAGAAATCTTTTAATAAGTTATAGTCATGAACTTATAGGAGAACCATCATTGTCATCATGTTGATATGGAAAAGTTGTGCGTAAAAATGATTATCTATTTATTCTTTAGTTTATTAAAATCATGATGAATAAATATATAAACTGACCCATTCATGCATCATGTAAAATCTGTACATGCTATACGTTTATTCTGTTATGATAAATAGAGTTTTTCTTAATAACTTTAAACATTCCAACTACCATATATATGATATGCGGTGAAACATTGTTTTTTTTTAAATAACATTCGGCCAGACTATAATTTATGGACGAACCAATCAGATTTACGATAACAGGTCTTGGATTTTGGCGCAAAATTCATCCTGGCATTATAGCTGATATCACTTCGTGATGAAAACCCTAAATCTAATTCCTAACCCTAACCATCAACTATCAATTTTAATCCTTATTCTGAAAACTGCTTTATAACCCTAATTTAGCCTTAGTAAGTAGATGGATATTTTCAAGGTCACTTTAGCGTCGCTCAAAGGTATCACCAATCATTCATTTACACATTCTCGGAGTATTTTTCACCCTTTCCTTGTCCTTATACTAAGCTACTATGTTACACCATACTTTTTTTACATATTTGTTATGCTTTAATTAATTAATTTTTTTGAAAATTCTCTTTTACACATAGTATCCTACTAGAGAAGAATATACAAATCATGAATGGATAAATAAACCAATATCTAATTGGATTAATTATGCTTATGTTAATATTCCGAATAGTTTGGATAAAGTTGATAATTTTAAAAGTGTAAAAAATGAACAAAATGTAAACAATAATTTTAATTTTCCCTATATATTACAAGTAAGTTAATTAACCAGTAATGTTATTTTATCTCAGAATTTCATTAGTCAGACATCAAAAAGGTTTAACGACATTTTAGATTCTAGTAATTTAATAGTTGAATTCATGAGCTAGACCACCATGGAAAACGTGGAAGCACCAGACGGTCGTTTCGTCCTAGTATGGGACTTCTCAGCCGCGCGCATTCACGATCCTGCTCGCGAGATTTGAACACAGGACTCATCGGTCTTACGCGCGAAGGCTTAACTTTAGACCATTGAGCCGGCATCGAACGGTGTTAATGTCTAACTCCAACCAATCCACGATTTTCACTTTAAAGACAGAAGTCCATTGGCTAGTGATAGTTGCTTTATAATGTGCTTTCGTGTATATCCAGTATTATCCTGAATGAATCGGTCAATAGAGCAAATATCAATTCCTTCTGGAGTAGATTTCAAGACAAGATTGTTTAATAGGTCAAACTTAATTAGACATACATGAAGTTTGTTCTTTGCTTTTGGTCTCACCTGTTGAATCTTTTAAGTCGTGCCGACCTAGTCAGATGAAAAAGAGAATGTCCTAGGCCTAAAGTCATTTGTTATTATAATCAAGATGGGAAAATCATCAGTTACTGTATGGCTTAGATTCACTTCTTGATTTAATCATTCATACTAACTGACAGGTACATAATATTCGATTGAATATTTTATTTATTACAGTGATGGCTTTAATTTGTAATCACGCATTTAATCACTGAGACAGTTGCTCCTTCTTTGTGTAGATCATTCTTTAGGTGTTTAAGTATTGATTATGTAACCAAATCTTTAATTAAGCCATTACAATTAAATCAGGATTTTATCCAATATACTATACGTTACAACATTATCTTGTAATATGTATGTTGGAATGTAGAGCACTGGTCCTACTGATTATTGTGTACTTAACATCCAATCAATGAGTTACAGGTTCTGGTCTGACCTGAACAAATTTGATTTGGACAGTCAAACCAAGACTTGACATCGGTCCATGGGATCAATGATTGTTGGAGTGAGTTGTGTAAATGGGCACAGAATACCTAAATGGGTTGCGCGCGACTACCGTAACCGACAGTTGGGAACATTTAGCGACGGCTCATAATCGGCTGTAAAGACATAAATGCATTCAATCTCTGTGTTGAAGTGCTTGTACTTTTATTCCACGGACTAATTCTCTTTCTCGGATCATACTGTATATGTCTAATCTTTTCCTCTTTTACTGATACTGCTACTACTGCAGTGAACGAGAACACAAGTGGGGACAATCGAATGTATTTTAATACAAAATTACAGAACATCTTAGTAAAATTTCAGAACCGTATAGTAAATACTTCATTTGCAAAATGTCAACCAGTCGTCTCAAACTTTAATGTTCCTCCATTTCTACACCAATCATTCTCCGTTCTCGCTTTTTTTTGATCTCCTTAACCTTTTACTGCCAGGCGTTGCACTTTCGACTGATGATACATACTACTTATATCTGTCGACATGACTAGCACACCCCACATTTGTACTATTCTGGAATTTGTCTTTATAATTTCAACTCGTTTTGCTGATGTGTTGTGACAACTTGAGTACGTGTGACAGATTCTACATTGCTTATTACTGACAGGCTGCAGAGGTTTTTTTTAGTGTTCATACAAAATAATGCACCCCGAGTCTGAGTGCATAATGTACTTAATCACTGAATTAAATGGATTTTATAGATTTATATTATAGATATGAATAACCAACATTGTTTGTATTGAAAACATAAGTGTTTTTTCTTCATTTTCATTTATCATTCATACTAATTCGCATCAGTAAGTCAGTTTCGATCAGCCTAACACCCGGCACAAGTGTGCATTGGCCCAAGTTGCCATAACTCAAGTCAAAATAACAAAATGAATACTATAGATTTGGAAGAATTATATCGAGACCAATGAAGATCTAAACACAATAAAAACAAATATGATCGATTACTGAAAATTCAGAAATGATAATTAGCTCAAGACTCTGCGGTAGATCGCACATGAATAGAAATGACCTATTGCCACTAATTTCATGTTTTTTCATCCAGTGGCTAAGTTATGTAAATAATGACGTCAAAAACCCGTGCCAGTGAACATGTACAGATCAAATTCAAGTTATCAAGATATTCTTAGTACGATAGAACACGTCTGCAAATAACCTTTCCTTAATAAAATTCAACGAAATAATATTAAGACAAAATTATTTTTTTCACAGAATTTCCTTCATAATTATTCAGGTACTCAGTCTGGACAAAAGCCCCATCTAGCACAACACTTACGTTCAGAGTTCCCTCCCTACCACCTAGCATCTCAATTGTTTACAATATTCTAACAATCTATATTTTTTTCGCAAAATCCTTACTTTCATAGAAAATCTTTTTCTCTTTTTTAAGTGAGGCATTAAGTTTCTCAAAAAGAATACTCAAAGATACTGTCGTCGTTATTAACTAAACAGAACCTCAGTAATTGACATTTGAATGGATATTTTTTCTAAAAACATGGTATAAACAATTCATTACTGATAGTGTTCACCTATATTTTGGTGGTTTATTTCAAGTGTTTAACTAAGCGTACACTGAAGTAAGTCGATCTTATCCGGGTTTTTTTTATGGAACTTTGACAGCACTAGAAACACTGTTGACATGATGAGAGTAACATGAACTAATTAAAAATTTTTTTAAAAACTCTCTAGACAACCTCCTATATCTTGTTGCACAAGATATACGTTAAAAATTTGTAACCCAATAAGGTTGAAAACATAAACATAAAAAACAGACATATGTCTATCACATATTTATCCAATAAGAACATTGGTTTCAAGGCGAAGCAAGTATGCTAAGGGTCACGGTAACCAATCAACATTGAAGAAATTACATCATTTGATCTGTCTAAAATTAATCATGTTTTTTTCGTTCGACATCTTTTCATTTGCGTTAATCAACTTTCGTAATTTTGCAATCATGTGATCTTGACTTTTTTTCTCGCATTGATTGTCACTTGTTTAAAGGTTGTAAAAGACATATGTTGTAGAAATAATCAAGAACAGTTAAAATTATCTTCATTGGCTCAGACATACGCTAAACGAATCGCGATAGCAGATGGTAGTAAAAATTGTAAATTTTGTGGTCGAATTCTACCGTCTACATTGACAAAACCATTTCATTTATCAAATGAAGGATATTGTTGTGATCGATATCATCGTCTTTTTCGATTGGCTGTTAGTTATTCTGAAATGTTATATAAACGTTTTCGTCAGCAACGACGTGATCATGGTAGACAGAAATTAAATAATCTGACAGAAGATGCATCAGAGAATCAAGTCAGTGAATCTGGCACAAAAATTGCAGGATCAGAAACAGAGTTATTAAGTAAGTTGTTCATTCATGTATATTTCTAAAATATTCACTAAATCATAAACAATGTACAAAATTAGAAACATATTTATATTACATAGATATTACGTTGCTGAAAATATATCTATCCATTTATATTAAATTAAGGAAGGATTGTTACACATTATTTACAGTCAACTAAAACTATATTTTAAATACCAATCATCATATTCAAGCTGATTATTAATATGCGTATAATTTTCGAAAATAAAGGTGATTTGAAAATTAAATTCAGCTGAGGTCTTCAGAAGATTACTAGGTATGTTTTCACGTTGTAGTAACTGCTTACTTATTTCTTTTTTCTTCGAAAAATGAAGAATATGAAGGTTGTAACATTGTATTATTCATCATTAGTTTTCTTGTATCCTCAATAACCAATCAAAAGGTGAACATAGCAAACCGAAATACCTTCTATTATTATGATTGCAAAAGTCAACATCTTGTACGTTCATTACACAGCTACAACTCATCACAAATAAGAAATTACAATTTGTACATGATCGAATCATAAAGGATGTGAAACTGAACAACTAGTGAATAACTGATTAGCAACAATATTGGAATGGCAAAACACATGTCAACGATTAATCAATTAATTGAAAGTTTATGATTAGGAAAATACCATAAATCAAGTATTTAATAATTACGCTGTAAAAATAAATGTAGTAATTCACCGTATATTAGAATTTAATATTTAATCTTTTCTTTATCTCCTCCCCTACATAAAAGCTACATTAATTAAACCTTGTTTATATATATATATATATATATATATATATATATATATATATATATATATGCCCTGGTCACCCCCACTTCCTACTAAACATTTCTAATCATGTACTCATCTTTTTCAAAAAAATTTTTGTCCTAACCAAACAGTACATTTTTCTAGTTTATTCTTAATTGTATAACATCTCAACGTTACTTATGATATATTTCCTAAGTAATTAAGCCATTTCTCACTGGATCGTTTCACAAGATTGCGGATAAATATTTTTGAGTTAAGACGGTGGTTGGAAGTAGTCTACAGGAAACCCTGGACCCGGGTTTTGTACTATTTGGCACTCGTCAGCAAAGTGTACCTGTAATCTTGAGGGAACTGGTGCTCTCTGACGTATTCAATCCCGTGTCACCAAACTTTACAGTTAGGTACGCCTTGCTGATGAGTGCCAAACAGCACGAAACCCGGGTCCAGGGCTTCCTGTTGACTATCTCCAATCACCATCTTATCTCAACATAGCTCACGCAATGTCGAATCACCTAGACTAGTGACAATATTGCAACTTGGTCGACAGGATTCGATCTGCACTAAGAACGACGTGACACACATGACATTGATCATCACCCAGTGATCAATCAATTGTGAATAAATCTTTTTTAAAATAATTCTATCTATTTGCTTCCAATCTTTGTTGGACAACAATTTCATAAGAATATCTTTTAAATATTTGTACGTCACAGAGACCATTATCCAGTACAACAAAAATAACACGATATACTTGTGAATTAACTCTTAGCAAATAATAATGAAATTAATCCTCCTTATAGGTTTTGATCTAAGAACCTTATTTATATCAAAATGAACAACTATCTAAGTTGTGTTTGTATTTAAACGACGACTTTTTTTTCTGCATAACTTTATACAGTTGACTAACTCTTTACTGATTATCATTTATAATCTAAGCATTGACGGTCTTTATGATGGTCATCTCATATACTTCAATCAGTAACGGTAAACATCACGTTATAATTTTAGTTGATATACAATTTGGTCAATATGCAAAAAAAAAAAAAACAATCATATAATATTAATTACTTATCAGTAACCGATTAATCTAGATAAATTTGATGTAACTTAGGTTTTACATGAATCTCATCCATACTAATTATCAGTTAAAAATTAAATTAATATAATGAACTATAATAAAATAACTGGATAGTTTATGTTTTAAATAATAACTGAATTTGAAATAATTTAATTATTACTATTTTCATAATACCTATAGAGTTTTAGTTAAGTTCATATCATATTGAAAGGTTAATATCAATTCGGTAAGGCTCACTTATAAAGGTGAGTGAATAAAGGATGAGATTATTTATTGATTAGAGTGAATATGTCATAATAGATTATTGTCTATCTAATGTAAATGACTAGTTTTAATGACGAAAACATTGTTTGATACTTAAGATAAAGGTTGGAAGTCGAAATATACTTTAGAATTAGAGGTTAGAGTTTATGATTTAAGTTTAGGGCTAGAGTTAAGATTAAGATCCAACTTTAGGGTTATTAATTAGGATGAAGAGTTTGGGATTTATTGTTAAGATTAGAATTTAAAATATAGGGTTTAGGAATAATAACTAGGGTATACATAAACTAACCAAAAAGCCTTATCCCAAGTTTAAATCATAGCCTTAAATCATGATTGTAATTATTAATCCTAAACCTTCATCTTGACTCTAATTCTAAATCATTCATTCACATTAATTGTTTTCAGACTGACTGAGTTGAACCTCATACCTGATTAGCGCGCCGACATAAGTTAGTTTTACTGATTAGTACTTGTAGATTAAATATTATCATGGCTTTAAAAGAATCATATTGACTAACGTGCTGATACCTTTTTTCTCCTAAATATTACACATTATTTTAATTTGGACATATTTGCATTATGTTGTTTCTCTTATTCATTTTTTTATCCTATTTCATATATCCGATGTTAAAACATGGCAATTTTAGTTGGCATATGTCTGTCCTGTGCGGACATTACCTTTAACCAAAGTTCATCTATTCACTTAATTATTTTATTTACCTTATTCATCAGTTTTGTAACTAAGGTAATGTAATACTATATAGGATATTGTATAAAGGTTAACTATTTTATCTGTAATATCCAATTACTGTTGGAATTGTAGTTATTACTTGTATTTTTTTAAAATCACTGTTTTTTTATATACACTGACAAACCTGTGAGTGAAACGTTAAAGGAAACAATACAAAATCAAGACCGAAAATATATAGACATAAAGAATCATCAGGAAACTTCAGAGTAAGTTGAGTAACTTATTAAGTAAAATGTTAATATACATATATGATATATTATTATTTAGTTATTTATATAAACTGTTCAGTTTGAAAGTAGAATTATATCACGAACTGATTTCAACTAGATAACCGTTGAAAACATGAGCGCATTGAACAAACGTTTCGCTTTAATAATGGACTTCTCATCAGCGCACTTACGACTCCACCAGGAATTGAGGATCGAACCTTTAGGCCTATTAGGGAATACTGCCGAACGTTCATCCTGTACTATCATTAATATCTCCGACTTCTTATGTAGTTGAACTATATAGGTCACTTTTTCTCAACAGAAGTTAAAGAATTCTTACTAAGGTTATTCACTTATGCCTATATGATTATAAATGGAATAAATTAACTGAAGTTGGATTCCATCAAAATAGTTCAAGCATAACTTGGTCATCGTGAAGAATGATTTTTCTAGTCTCCATCATTGTTATGGTCGTAAGCGCATACTATTAAGAAGTTAGAATAAAATTTATTGACTAACACTCCCTGATTTCTAATGGTTGTCAAAATGAATTAATTTTGTGATAAATATCATCTTTTTAAAACGTTTTCGAAGATCGTATTATGAATTTGTTTACTTGTTCCATATAACTTTGTTCAGTTTGACTTTTAAATTACTATATTCAGTTTATAGATAAATATGTCAAGATTCAATCAGGTATGTTTATGTAATAGTCTCTTATTGGTTATACAGACAGTGTTGTCTTTTCTGATGTACATCTATCTGATGATCTGTCATTAGTAGTTGGTGTTGTATGTCTGAATAGATCTCAAATTCTGTGTTGTGATTACACTTTTAAATTTACATATAGTACGTTATTATCTTGAATTGACTGCGTTTAAAAATACAGCAACCGTTGGATACCAGTTCGATATCTTAGAAATATCATGTTTGCAACGATACTTAAAGAAGGTACTTATTAGTATTACACACGTTTCCTAAGTTCTTTCTCGATCAACGATGAGAATGAGGAACCTGAAGAATGACGAAGAAACTGCAATTGGCAGAATCAAATATTTAGGTGCACATATCTTAGGTATATTTACATTTTTTCTTCTGAATCCAACAAAGAAATTTAGGCTCGTTGCTATCATTGAAGTCCTTGAGTCTTATCTAGAGTCCTGTAGGCACCGCAGGTACTGTAGAAAATCGATCAAAAATTTTAAGAATTTTACTTACACGGTTCATAAACTACTGTGTCATGACATCTTTTCGTTACTATTTTATATAATGTTTTAAGCTAGTTTCGTGAGAAGTAAGAGAAATCATTCAGAAACGTAGTTATGACCAGATAAAGGGTTCAAATATAAGCTGGCTTTATCATTAATAGATTAGTTCATGTAATTAATCTCTCTCAAGACAAAGAAAACTTATTATACATTTTGAAACTACATAAAACTAACACCACATACACTAAAGTTTCCCTATATTTTGAGTCACAGATTCTTGATTTTTACGACTTGTGTACTATCCGCATCTAATAAGTGACATAATCTCAAGGCTACTCTTAGCATTATCCGAGCTTTCTTGTTTAATATAGTTTCACCAGAAAAACTACTATACTTTTAACCCTGTTTATGATCAGTCAAATAATTTAAATATGTATCAGTTACCTACCCAATGTAACGGAAGATAGTCATACACTATTGTGGATTGGTTGAAGTCAAACATTAACACCATTGGATGCCAGCTCAATGATCTAAAGGTTAAGCGTCCTTACGAGATCGAATATCCATGGTTCAAGTCCTACATACGAGATCTTCGGTGTGAACTGCTAAAGATTTTAATACTAAAACGAAATGACCATCTAATGCTTCCAGTTTTTTCAATAGTAATCTAACATTAATTGTTTCCTATACTCAATTAAAACTTAATAATCTCTAAGACCTTGTATTGATAATTTAAGGATGATTAAAATGTGTGACAAAATTGTACTTTACTTTTCTTGTAAATTCAAAAGAAGTATTTTTTGCTTGAATTTTTTTGTACTGCATTTTTTACATTGTTCTATTCATTCTTCTGTGTAATACTTAATCATAAATCAAGTTTATACTTTTTAAATATAAATTATGAAATAGTTCATTTGGAAGATAATGAAACTTGTTTATTTATTGAAAGGAAAGGTTTGTTTGTGACAGTAAGATATCAAAAAATGGTACCATTGTAGTAAACAGAACACGGGTGGGGACAATTGAATATGTTTGAGCACATAATTACAAAGCATCTCTATAAAATCTGAGAACCATATAGTATAGTAAATCGTTAATTTGCAAAATATCAATCCATCATATCAAACTTGGGTGTTCCTGTTGAAAGCATCAATCCATTGTCTCAGATTACATTGTTCATGCACTTTCATTACGTTCCGTTTCCGTTCTTACCTCATTGACATTCTACCGAAGTACATTCTACACCTGACTGCTGTTATATACTACTTGTGTGGATATAAATAACCCACCCCACACCATATATAACAAAAAAAAGTAAAAAGAGAAATGAGTAACATTTCATCATATTTTGATATGATTGCAGAATAATAAATAAGAACTTTTGTCTGAAATTCTATCGAATAGTTTCATAGTATTTGGGCGCCTGATAATCTGATCCAAACTTTTTCAGGGATATGTCTTACATCAACTCGGTGCCCAAATACTGTGTAACTATTCGATCAAATTTTAAACAAAAGTTCTAATTTATTATTTAATGATATTGTTTAATTAAAAAATCAAAATAAATTTTGTTCAATTACAATTAGTATTTGGTTATTATTTATACGTGATATGAATGGAAGCTACACTAAGATTATAATCGGCTTTTATTCTGTAACACACGCTTGATTTGTTTTAGAGTCAATAGATTAAAAAAATTATGATAAGAACTCCATCCAAATGTTATAAACTAACCGAATAAAATTATTTATCATTTTACGGTTGTGCCATAAATTGGTTGCTTCTTTACATTATCATTTAGTTCAAACGTTAGTAAGTAATATGATGTATAATAGCCTATTGGACAACATGTAGTGGATGTAAATAGGTTAGCGAATTAGGTGTTACTATATATATATTTCACAATTGATTGATCACCGGGTGGTGATCAATGTCATGCGTGTCTAGTCCTTATTAGTGCAGATCGAATCCTATTGAGTCACCTAGACTGGTGGCCACATTGCAACATGGTCGATAGCATTCGATCTGCACTAATAAGGAGTAGACACGCATGGCATTGATCACTACCCAGTGATCAATCAATTGTGATTACATCTCATTCCTACAGGACGTATGAGGTCGGTCGCGGCCCGGATAGCTCAGTGGTAACGTCTCTGACTATGAAGCTGGGTGACACGGGATTGAATCCGTCAGGGAGCACCAGTTCCCTCAAGATTATAGGTACACCTTGCTGACAATTGCCAAGTAACACGAAACCCGGGTCCAGGGTTTCCTGTCATCTACCTCCAACCACCATCTTATATAAAGTATTTATTTTAAATAATTCACATTTTCACATACATCAAGATTAAACGTAATTTGTATCAGTCAATATCATTGATATCTACTAGTGACACTGTTATTACTTCTAGTGCTCTGTAATATGTATTGATAGTTTTATCATATTGTGCTAATGTGATATAGAAACTTGAACCGATACACAAATGTTCCAATTTCTTCAATGTATATATTAGACTTACTGCCTGACTAATTGACTAATATAATTTATATTCCTGAAAAGATGTATATATGTATATGTATTAGTAAATAGTTGATAACACTATACTTTCGGAAATAGTTGTACTTTAAATCTATGTTATCAAATACTTCTTTGAAATGAAAATCTTTAAAATTATTCTTAATTTCATTATAAATTACTTAACACATAATAATTATTATAAAATTCTTGAATCGTGTATTTCATATTTGATTGTTTGTTTTTTCTATTGTTGTTTAAGAATATACAATGAATAATAAATGATCTCACTTTTCAATCCATTTACCATTTTTATTGATGCATTATATTAATATTTTCATTACAAATTGTCATTTGTTAATATTTATTAAATCATATGTCATTTTATCATTTCATATCTATGAATATAATTTTCTTAATTAATTCTAATAATAATTTCATAATCAATTTGTAAATGTCAATTTAACATTGAATATGATTGAATGAAATAATAACAACAACATTATATTATGTCATTTAAGCGTTCTTGTATTCGAGTCAAACACGTGGGATCGTAGATGCTCACTGATGAAGAGTCGTATACTGAGACGAAACAGTTGTCCAGTGTTTCCAGGTTTTCAATGGTTGTCTAACATTTATTCATTCATAATATCAATTTAAAATCAACAATTTCCATTAACCCTATACTGATAATTTAGAACTGAAGGTTATTTTTTTTCGAGATTTGTAATATCTGAAAATAGTTTTCCCTAAATAATAAATTAAAGTTGGTTAAAGAAAAATCATTTAAAATCAAAGGGATAGTGAACGAAATGTTCCACATTATTTTTTTGAACTGGATAGTATTTTTCACACACGTATCTATGTACAATTAAACTTTTCGATTTCATTACATCATCCTGAAATTATAACATTTTTACAGTGTTTTATTCCAAATCGAATCGATCACATTATTAACCTGAATTGATTTATGGTTAATGATGTATATTATTCATTGTACTAAGTATTGCTTTACACATATCAACATATATGTTAACACAATAATCAATTTCTGTTTTACATTGTGTTAGGTCATTAGCTGATACTACTGGAAATACAAATAACGACGATAATGAAGAGACCGAATGTACAACTGGTTAGTTTATGGATATTTGTTTGGTTTTGTATGTTTTTTATTCATTTAATGTAAGTTGTTTATTTTATTCTCCAGTTCTTAATGCTTTCTATGCTTATATAAAAGTACCAAATTGTCGACACGTGTGTGTTTCTTTCTGTAGACTGATTGATGAATATTTTATTTCGAATTCGCTGCTATTATAGTTAGTGTTTTATTGTACTTAACAGATTAGATCAATATTCAGTGGTTGTAACTAATGGCAGAAAAACCATAGACAATCTAGGTTTTGTGGTAATTAGCATTTACCAACGAGAAATGTTTTCAACATCACAGGAACTGATGGATCCTCCAGCAAATATATCTATGCTACTCAGCTTCTTAGTCATAGATGTCACGAATGAAGCATTTGAGTTAACGATTAACATCAATCTGTCGAAATGATACATTTGTGATGTAGATTCTTATTACTTACAGAATTGATGGTTACAAAAAAGAAATTACTTTTATCGAAAGTAATCAATACATAATCAGATTGAAAGTAAATGATTAACTGGATATGATCTTTTTTTTTGAAAAAAGGTTCACATAATAATTTACAATATCATGTGAAATGAAACAGTTCTTGATTACAACAAATAGTTTCAATAACCAATAACATGAATGAAACAAAATAAATTCTCATTGCACAAGCTAGTGGGTATTTGGACTCAGTAACTCAATAGATCACTCATTGGGCATTTGAAGCAAGATGTACTGGATTCGAGACTTAAAGTGAAAATTATTACATGGATGCAGTCACATCTAGTTGACAAGCAGTCCTGAATGGGAAGAAACAGATATTTTGGATTCAACTACAAGCTTATATCCATCTATACTTCAGTAATAAGAATGATTTATGACATAGGATTAAATTTTCTTTTATAATATTAATCATTTATCTTAACGACACTGTACATTATCCCAAGTTTAAAATGATTACTAGTTTGAATACGAAATGTTGAGTTAAGAGTTTTAAATTTTATCATATCCCAGAGAGTTATTCTCAATGATTAAAAAGTGTCTTATTTTATACTTCAGTTACCTCCCTTTCATAAATTTAGACAAAACAAAAATGTGAATTTCACTAACGTTTGAATGAGTCTAACAGTGGAATTCAAAACGTCCGTTTATTCCCATTTAGGGATATGTGACTAAAAAATATCAAGGTAATCCGCCTAAGATGCGTGTTTTTCAACAGAGCGTGATCAATTGCAGTTGTTAACATTAAAAAATTAAAAATACGACAATTACGTAAACAATATTCACCGAATGGTATACTTTGTACAGTACTATAATTTCATTGAATATCTTTAAACTCATGAGCCGACTAAAGTTATATGACCATTGAAAACCTGGAAGCACTAGACAGCTGTTTTGTTTCAATATGGGACTCCTCAGCAGTGAGCATTCACAACACCGCATGCGGGGACCGAATCCAAGACATTCGATCCCTCAAGAACGCTAAACCTATAAACCATTCAGCCAGCATCCAACAGTGTACAAGTTCAAGTCCAATCAATCCATGACATTGCACGGCCATTCTCTATTGTCTTCGGTGGATAACTGCCTCATACCCGACACAATCTAGCTCCGTTAGTCACAGATTCCCGCTAAACCTGCGGAAATTTACTCCCCAAGCTAGTCACCAGTGAGCACATAATAACTTTCAGCATAGGGTTGTTCATGTTGCACTCTTACGTGTTACGGGTCATTTGAACGGTAATCAACTACTGATTCATTTTGTCGAATACAATCGTCAATCTGCACTAGTTGTAAGATCAGACTTTCTTCTGTTTCCCTTTCGATCAGGTCACTTGATATTGGGATCCGCTAATAAGATCCTCACTTTACCCTTATCTGACTAATGATTATGTTTTCAACCAAAATACGAGTAATCAAACAAAGACCTATATCATAACTTTTAATTTCACCGAGAACTGTTATTTACGGCAGTCATTTAGAAGACAAATATAGCAAACAGAACTAATTTATATTGTTATATTATCATTATGGTCATGTTGAATCAAAAACTTACTGGCTTATTGTACACATATTATCCGAATACAACATATCACAGATAAGAAATTACAGCATATTACCAACTAGTATATTCACTGAATATAATCTGAATCACAAGTTCATAATCAATTGATGATAATTAAACAAATTCTCTAAAAAAATTGGCAGTATTTAGTTAATGAATGTTTACAATAAGAGTAATATAAAAAAAAGTATAACTGAAGCATTTATTAAGTATGCGGTAAAAACTGAAATAATAATTCTCCGTTTTCCCCCACTTATTTGCCTCAAGCTAACAATACCCTTCTATTATGATCATTATAAATCTCCATAGTATACAGTGGTATTATTTGATAAATTATCTTGAATACTTTTATAATATCCGTCACATTATTAAAGTAGCTTGTTGTATGGAGCAATGTCCTACCTAATATTGATAAACAAACTTCCTATTCGTTAGTTCAATCATTCATTTGAGTGTGAAGACTGGGAGTGTAAGAAAGAAGTTTTTTATTGGCAAACCGAATCCCCATTTTTCCTCCAGTGGAGTGTTTCATTCCTTAGAATAGAAAGCCATATCTTGGCTAATTGTGTGCACTTAACATCTGACTAATGTCTAACTTACCCACTGTATCATAATTATCGTATAATCTAGATGTTTTCTGGTATTTAACTCTTTCTTCTGCTCTGGAAATAATTAACCTCAAGCTGGTATTAAATCAATCTATATCTCAGATTTATAAATTTCGAATTAGATCATTTGTGATTTTTAATAAGTAGAATGGTTTAAATATTAATAAAAGAAATTATTAGGCGTAATACCGACTGTTATTATGATCAGCAATCAATGAAATCGTCTTTTCTTTCTGTACGTATCTGAATAGGGATTTTCGCATTACTAAATCAAAATGCCATATGGCATAATGAACTGAGAATTCGCTTTACTGTTAAAGGTGAATTATAAAATGTAAATGTTACCAAATTGATAAATAATATGGATGTTTACTGGGGATACTTTATAATGATTCCAACTTACCATAAATTGAACTTTACTTCAGTGGTTAGATAGTATCGAGATTCTCGCAACATTTGGATGTTTTGTAAATCAGCAAGAACAAAGGTTCTGTCAGAACAGTATGAATTCATTTTATTTCGATTGGTACTCGTCAACTGCTTAAAACCTGTGGTATTTGAAAATCATAATTACAAAATGGGTTTAAATTACTTACATCCTTGTTGTACTATACTGATGTGTCTTCAAAATAACTTGCAAATGAACTCTTATGTAAGTAATTTAAACCCATTTTGTATTTATGATTTTCAAATATCACATGCTGTAAGCAGCTGGCGAGTACCAAACGCAATAAAATAAATTCTTGCTGTTCCGCTAGAAACTGGAAGGTTTTTTGAGTAATCTCGTAGAAATGTTACATTCTACAGACTGAGATCTTATAACTCCGATTTTTAACCGATTTCTGAGTAGTCGTAAACTTCACCGTTTGAATACAAAACAAAATTAGAAGGACACATGATAGAAGATTCATTTTTAAAGTTCCTTTCCTGAAAAAACACAGGCATTCGAAAAGTATCTTTTATTTTCAACGATAATGGTGCCGTATTCCGGATTCGTCACTTAGTAAGTGACACTCCCCATAACAACGGTTTCACTGCCGACATATCTAGATTTCACTAGCCACATAGTCTAACTTTCAATCAATAAAATTTACATTGAAAACCCTACAAATTGGGATGACTACCAGTTCATCAAGAGCAATGATACGTATCATACAAGCCATTGGTTGAGATCCACGGTTTCAATGAGCGTTTAATGTAGGAACTCTGATAGATTTTGTATTAACAAATAAAGTGAGTTGAAATACTCCCAGTATTTATTTAATTTGTAAGTAGCTGTTGTCACAAATTAAATCCAGTTGAAACATCGGTGGGATGGAGGGATTACTATAAAACTTTCTTTTTAGTATGGAAGCTCTCAGTAGTGCACAGCTTACTACCTTGGATATCTGTCTATCCCTATCACCAGATAATCATGATCTGGAGCCTCGCAGCTCGCCACTAGGCTGGATGATTCTGAGTTTGATGCCTAATGCAGTTGTCAGTTCATGCTGCTCATGAGTCTCATAAAACGATATACCTGTCCGGTGTTCCCTTGTTCTGGAAATATTGTCCCAAATTATGTCAGTTCTTAACAAAACCAATCAAAAACTAAGTTTACTTAAAGGATTGTGGACAAGAAAAGGTATCATATACTAGGGTAAAAAACTGATTTCACTTCATGAAGAAAATTGTTTTAGCGTTTCTTATCAATTGTAAGTTAGCATCCAAGCAAATAGGTCCTAACTGAAGTAGTTGCATATCAGTTACAGTACTCAGCTTTGAACTTTCCGACCGAGGGTTTCAACTCATTTATTTCAGTTTGACAGACTGGATGGTATGACTAGTCTTGACATACAAATTGTGTGAATAAATATGAGTTCCTAAACAAGTACTTGATAAGTCAGTTTACATAAGCTATTATAATTGTAGTTATTTGTTTATATTCTAGGCACACCTTGATGACTGCTACAAACTACCATAAAACTAAAGTCTAACGCTACCATCAGACTGCTACCGACTACCTAATGTTTATCTCTAACATATGTCTCAATAATGAATTATTTCGTTAAACTTACATCAAGATCATTTAATATAAAGTGTCGCTTTTCATCAAAACTTAATGCAATATACTTTTTGTTGGTATCGTTCTTATTTAAACAGATAGAATTGTTTATCAATTATCAAATCGTAAGTACATTGAACAAGGATGGACTGCTGTGAATCATGTACAGCATATTGACAATGATAGCAATAATGACGACTTATTATTAGTTAATGAAGGCAAATCAATGCATATCAATTCAGGTGAAGTAAAAAATGAGTCGATTGAAATACAACTTGATTTTATACAACATACATATTCCAATGGTGAAGTATTTTTAAGAAAATATAACGACAATACAGGAGTCATATTGTATCCTTTTCTTTTGTAGTCTTGAAAGCCAGACAAAACCAAAACTGAAGAAGTGGTACTTCGTCCTAACTAGAAACCCTTCAACAGTATAACATTATTAATTTCTCCAAAACATAAGTAGCATTCTTTGCTCCGTGATGCTGCACTGATTAGTCCTGAGAAAGTATAAAATAATGGTGACAGTAGGATATACAACTGAAATTACACGATTCCTCAAATGGTCTTGGAAAATTTTTATTCATTCAGCTAATCAGAAATCAATAAACATGAACGACTGGTTTATAATACTAGGACTAGGATGTACTTTGCATTCAATGTAAAAATCAAGGTGAAAATATTCATAAAATGTATGCCCAACTTCGAAATCAACAGACCGGATTCCGTAAGAATCGGTCGCGCACAGACCGAATCGCGACATCACAGACCATCATTGAACGATCAGTTTAATGAAACTCGTCATTATACATGGAATTCACCACTCTATATCAACTTCATTGACTTCAAAAACGCATTTGATAGCATGGACATGGTAACATTATGGTGACTTTTTCGACACTACGGCGTGCCTGAGAAGATAGCCGACATCATATGGAATTCTTATGATGGATTAAACCGCAAAATCGTGCGTAGAGGACAGCTGACAGACGCGTCCCAAGTAAGGACCGGAGTCAGACAAGGCTGCCTACTCTCCCCTTTTCTTATTCTTCAGATGGTTGACTAGATTATGAAGGCCTCCACATCTGAGGGAAAGCACGAAATACAATGAACAGGTTGGATGCAGGTAGAAGATTTGGACTTCGTAGATGACCTAACCCTTCTCTCTCATACACACCAACAAATACAGACAACTAGTGTTGCAGCAGTCTTTGCAGCGGTAGGCATCAACATACACAAGAGGAAAAGCAAGATCTTCAAATATAACACAGAGAACACCAAGGCATTCACATTTGATGGAGAAACTCTGGAACAGGTGAAACTATTCACGTATCTGAGAGGCATCGTCGACGAACGTGGATGATCTGATGCAGACGTAAAGGTGGGGATTGGCAAAGCAGAGTCCGCACTCCTACAATTGAGGAATATATGGAATTCAAAACCACTTTCAATCAATATCAAATTGAGAATCTTCAGTACGAACGTCAAGACATTTCTACCGTATGGAGATGTAACTTGGAAAACTACCACAACCATCATCAACAAAGTAAAAGTATTTATGAACAATTGTCTACGTAAGATACTGAATGTCCGTTGGACGGATACCATCAGTAATAGCCTACTATGGGGGAGAACAAACAAGCTTCGAGCTGACTAGGAAATTATGAAAAGACGCTGGAAGTGGACAGGACATATATTGAGGAAATCATTAAACTGCATCACGAAGTAAGCCCTAACTTGGATCCTGAAAGGAAATGGAAAAGAGGAAGACTAAAGAACACACTGCATCGGGAATCGGAAGTATACATTTAAAGGATGAATATCAATTGGAAAGGATTGCTCAGGACAGAGTTTGATGGAGGCGCTGGTGTGCGGCCAATGCTCATCAACGAGGAGTAGCAGGAATAGGCAAGTAATCCTAATATGATCTGGCAACTTAAATCGATGCATAGATGTGTCTGGTTTTACACTGCACATGACTGACTGAGTTAAACGGCATTTTGTCTTCATGTATGCGCCATAACCTTGAGGGTATTGATATTATTTAGGACTGATATTTACGCAGATTGATCAGGTACATTTAACTTGATTGAGTACATCTAACACATCATTAAAGGAAAAATGAATCAACAATGGAGTCAAAGTTAGGCAGTTCGAATTTAACACTAGTAACTTCCAAAACTCAGTGTTTAAACTGAATGAAGTAGCTTTAAGTAAGAAATTTCAACTGTTAGCTATTGAACATGGTACTTTTGTGAATTATTCGTACAAATCGACAAACAGGTAGGTTTTATTCTTCTTAGTTTTAAATTGATATTTTTATTTAGCTCAATCTAAAATTATTTATAATGTGTACTATAACCCTATAAGTCAACTAATAGAAATAGTTCTTTCTACAACCTAATTGTTATTTAGGATTATTGAAGCAATTATTATAAGCGACATCAATTTTACGTATATATATATATATATATATATATATATATATATATATATATATATATATATATATATATATATATATATATATATATATATACAGTGACTTCTTGAACAGATTTGTACACTCAGTAGTCTATACATCCTCAAGATGAAAACACGATAGTTAAAACTTAGATATTGATATCAATGATCATATAGAAAGTTATCAGTAACACTTTAAAACTCCCCAAAAGTTGTCAAAATTAGAATTTACAATAAATTACCAAGAGTACTAACTTGATATGACTAAATCAAGTACTCTGTCTATTTTTTCATGTTTTTGAGGGATAAAGATTAGTATTTCCTAACAAATACTAAGCAGTTATTAAGCAAAGATGGATAGTGGCTAGCAGTGGAATCCAGGACGCGAGTTTCATCCCATTTGAGACTCATCAGCTGGATGTACCTGCGTCGCAGAGTTGATGTTCACTTCAGGACCCGAACCCAGTACGGTTCGCTTCAAACGCTACCGCGTTATCCACTTAGCTACTGAGTCCTGATAACCACCTGCTTGTGTAATGGTGTGAAGTTTAAATTCACTTGGTGTTGTTTTACTTATATCTTCCGATTGTTATTTAAGACTGCAATTGATCAGTCTCATGTTGGTATGTGTGCATCCTGTGCGGATTGCCTCGATATCTCATTAAGTCACAAGCTTTTTAAGCCGTTACAATAGTTTTCATTAAATTGAGAACAAAAATATATCATCTTGTAACTATTAAAGTCATGGAATACAGCATTACATAATAATTAACGTTATTCTCAAAATTATCGATGTTCGATAATTTTATGCTGTATCCATAAACTTCAATCATTTTTTCTGTTTATTTACTGAGGTTGTGATGTATACTAGTTCAATTTCAAATTATATTTTAAACTCTGATCTTGACAATATTTGTTTTTCATCCCGGATGTTAGGGTGCCCTACATTGACATTTTCGTAACACACAGATTCTAACAACTTGAGATGATTAAAATAAAAACTTTAGTGAAAGGTACATTTCAATATGCACACCGCTACTAATCGATCAGAAAAATAAGCGAAATCACTGGATACAGTACGTGTAATGAACATTGAAGACGTTGTAAATGACTTAAGGCTTCAATAATCAAATACATACTCATGTAATCGACTTTAGTGAATAACTTTTTGTTAAATCTTTTAGAACAATTTGGTTGTTTACTACAATTAAATAGATAGCGAGAGGGAGATAGTTCGTGTTTGTAGTTTGACAACCAAGTATTTCAATCACGAACTTACTCTACTTTGCAGATTTACAAGCAACAAATCAGTATTAGAATGATATTCAATGAGTTTGAATGTAGTGAAAAGTTTATATATCTACAATTCACCTGAGTGTTGTTTCATAGAAAAGGATTACATTTATTTGAAAAATTCTGTTGGTACAAAGATTAGAAAAAAAACAGAGTTATTTAAAAGTAAATATAAACTTTATGACATTTTTTATCATTATGACATTCTAGTATTTATGAGACGAAAATGTATTAAAAGTTGTTTTCTATGAAGTCTCAAGAATCTATCAGCAAGAAAGTTACTATTGATTACATACCGCCATGAAATAATGTATAACTCTGATACTAAGACAGTTATTAATCATTAATAGTAACGATACAAAGTATATTAATATATTAAGTATTTCGATTAGTATATTAAAAATACAAATGAAGCAAAGAAAAATTTCTTTTCATTTAGATCCTCGTGATGGTTCTGAACTAGAATATTGATTTACCAGTCGAATGTAAACCTCATAACAAATAATGAACATATTTATTGTTTTATCGCAATGAGTAGAAAAATTGTATTTCTGACGTTTCGTGACTTAATATAAGTCACTACTTCAGAATAAATAAATAGCTGAATTAAATAATGATGAGTATAAGTAGTAGCATATAAATTAACAGTATATTATATCAATGTTTTCGCTAAATTTCGTGACCGGTTAGTAATTCAAACCAAAATTAAGCAATTAAGTGTAAATTATTGGTTTGCTTTAAGGGGTTTTCTGAAGATTGCTCATTTCTGGACGTCGTATACTTGACAGATTATTAGTTGGTTTGCGATTGAATACTAGAGAGCATTGAACTACTGTTTTACATTATTATGAGACTCCTCAGTACCATGCACTAAAAACCCTACCAGGTACCGAACCCAAGACTCTCAGTGATCATCTAACGAATATTTGAGGAACGTTAGTTGGATGTACCTACTTTCCAGTGTTGATGTTCACATTGAGACACAAATCCAGTTTCCTTCACTTCAAACGCTTTGTTATCCGTTAAGCTGCCGATACCAAATTGTCATTGAGTTGTTCACTAAATGTGTTTATATAATCAGTTTTAAAGGTTTGAATCATCTTATAGTTAATATTGAGGGCTGACTTTAATTGATCATTCTCATTAAATGTGTATATTGTGTGGATTTTCTTGATATACCTTTTTTCACTGGATATTTTACGTCCTGATGAGGAAGCCAACTTAGTGATTTAAAGATACCACACTCGTTGCTTTAAGTCACTAGGTCGTAGTTTCAGTTATTTTTATATACCGAATACTGAAAAGTCCCATTTTCTGACGAAAGAATTCTTCAACGCTACCTGGATTTTAATAGTTGGATAGTTAAAATCCGCCTGTCATGTAGACTGTCTTAGAATTCTGCTAATAAATTTTCGAATTTCCAGTGAAAAGTCATGAACAGTGGTACTCAACTTTGTCGGGTAACAGGAATGTACTCACCAAAGACAATGGATGATTGTTTACTTAAGCCAGTTACCCCTCGATGAGCATCGGTCGCCGACAAACAATCCCCAACCTAATCTATCGTGTGCGCTCATCGCAATTTGTTCCCAAGTGTTGTTTATTCTTTTGATGTCTGACTCCCATTCCTCATGCAATATGTCCTCGGGTCCTCCTCTTTTGTTTTTGCCTTCAGGATTTCAAGTTAGCGCTTGGTACAACCGGATGATTTCCGCGATGTATTTCCTGTACACTTCGAGCGTCTCTTCTCGATTTCCTCTTCAGTTGGAAGTTGGTTTGTTGTTGCTGATGGTATCCGGCCAACTGACATTCAGTATCTTGCGTAGACAATTGTTTGAAAATATTTGTACTTTTTGATGATGGTTGTAGTAGTTGACCGACAGCTGTCTTTAGTTCCGTATGTTCTCCATTCGTGAGAACAGCTCCCTCGCTTTACCAATCCTTACCTTTACGCCCGCATATCTTCTTTATTTATCCATGATGCTGACCAGGTACATAAGAGTTCCTCCATCAAATGTGACTAGGTCGGTACTCACTGTTGTATTTTAGGATCTTGGTTTTCCCTTATGAATTTTGGAACCTGTTGCTACATAGGTTGGTGCTACACTGACTCTCTTCATCTGCATTTGTTTCTGTGCATGAGAGGTGGCTGAGTAATACTTTGGCTGGTCTTCACTGCCGAGAAGTCCCATAGTAGGACGAAACGGCCACTAAGCACTTCTGGGTTTTCAACGGTTATCAAATGATCCGGGCTATCGGACTCCAACTCAGGTATATGAAGGTTAGGCACTCATCACGAGACCTGGAGTTCCTGCGTACAGTCTTTGAGGGGGGTTATGGATGTGCACCGCTAATGAGTCCTATACTGCAGAGAAATATGGATGAAATGGCCCTTGGGTTTACATGGTTTCTTTAGCTGATGTCAACTATTAAACAAAAGCTCACAGATTCAAAGTATTTTTTTACATGATTATAATGTCATTTATCATAAATGAAATGAGAAGTACTTTATTCTGTGTTGACCGAGTAATTGGTACTGAAATACAGTCAAGAGCCAGGTATGTGCACAGGTCTCGATTTTGTTTGACCCCTTATAAATAGCAACAAAGCAACGTCTACATTCTACGCAGACTAAATCCAACATGTCTCTTTCACTGTCATTTTTGTTTATTAATATCTTTTATTGGCAACATCTAATTTCAAGTAGATTGATACAATGAAAGCTGTAAATTCACATAATCTTTATTAAATATTCTGTTCAATACATCTTATAGAAGTCTGCTAACATCATAAAGCTCTCACCTAGTAAGTCCTTTTCCAAGAAGTGATTATTGATGAATTTAATTATGAATATTATTCCAAAATCAAGCGTACCTTAGGTCGAACAACCTTTGTAAAAATCTCATCTTTTTTATGTTCTGTGGTATAAAATAATACAAAACTCCTTAACAAATATTCACAACATTCAGTTATCCAACTGGTAATCCAGCAATCTTGTTTCTACCTAATAATGAACCAGTTGGTTTACTATTCATCGTACATGATCTATTACATCTGAATATGACAAAAGTTAGAAAAGAAGATGCCAAAATAAATCATAAACAAAAGTCTACTTCTTTTAAAGTGTTAAATAATAATACTAGTAAAATGAAGAAATTGATCAATGTCGATGTACAATCAACTGTTGGCCAATTAATCGGTGTGTTCGATAGCAATATTCATGGGGTAGTTTATGACAAGGAAAACAATATACGGTATTTATTGTTTAACTCAAACTAATATGATAAATTTTCGTTACTTACTGTCAATAATTATCTCATAAACATTAACCTATCTTATTGAGGTTGCTCCCTTTTGTAGTTTTTTTGGATATTTCATGTAAATCCCAGTTGCTAAAATTATTAAAATGCAACTTTGAATTTCGAACTATCCGTCTAAGTTCTGGCGAATGTTCTTGCAAATGACTCAAACGCTTTAAAAAATCATTCTTTCGGGCTTAAATATAGCGATTTTATTCCTATACAGTTACAAGCGAAACTATTTGTATTTGATAACGAGAAATGAACACGGTTACGTCTTTGCGATTGTAGTAACAGTAGACTAAATTCGCTTTTCAATATCATTTAGTGTCATATTCCCTTAAAGTAATTTTAAACTTTCGACTACTACTATTATGCAGATATCTAAATGGTTTGACAACCTGGTGGAATACAATGTTAGGCCCAAATATCCCCATCGGGTGTATTTTGATCAACATTGGTCTAATAATGATATATCATTATGTGACAACAGAGAATTCTCACAAATTAAGTAGGACATTTTGAATACACATAACGAACTGAACCATTAGGAAAACCAATTTCAGAAAAACAATAGCTAATCAAACCTTACACTGGGTAGTACAAACATGCAAATCAATTAAAAAAAAACACTACATATGGAACAGAAACCGACCACAACCGATATTTCCCTATAACTAAGACTGTCACCATATGAAAAAGTATTTCCAAATCTATTAACGAAGAATACTACTTCACGAGACTGATCCCCAAAACGCAATGAATAACCAATGAAGATTTTGAATATTTAACTAAATCAACAATATATATTTCTACATAGTTCTTTATCAACAGATAAGTACACAAATCAAACTATATAAAACTGACAAACAAATCAATTAATATGTTACAAATTCAGTACATTTAAACTAAAATCGGATCTCATTTGTGTTTTTGAAAAAAGCTGAAAATTTGACGCATTGGATTAGTTTATTACCGTTTGAAGCAACGTAGATTATAAATTATTAGCTAGTTTGTTTTAAGCCATTTATCAAATACAGTATCATGAAACCAGTTCTTCACTAACGTTTATTTATTAGTGATACTACCCAGCTTGCCAAACTGAACTTACCACCTGCTTAAATGATATGTGAGTGTTTTGCCATTAGTCAACTAAGTGTAAGACCATGACAGTAACTAACCCAAAAAAATTTATTTCTTTTAGATTACAGTATAATCATAATGAAGGTGTCTATTTCAAGCAATCATTGGATAGACGCACAAGAATATGGAAATGGTCTGGAGAAAAACATGTGCATGCACCACCTTTTCAACCACTGTCAATAAAATTAAATGATATTATAACATTGAAAATTTATCGACTTAATAAAATCCATTTACATTTCCAAACAATGAAAATTATTTGCAAATTAGATCTCACAAGTAAACAGTTGAAACTACAATGGATAAACACAGAACAGTATAAGGAACCAAAATGAATTTGAACATCTTGCCTAACCGTATCCTACGATGCATGATAACAAATTGGATGGATAAGAATAGTTGATATAGTGTTTTGCCATTTGTTCATAACTAACATGCTGTTGTTCTTACGGAGTATGTAAATTACTTGCGTTTTTAAATACAATCTACATTTTCACGTGAACTCACCTTGTGAATGATGTGGAATAGTGTGCCATGACCCAAGTTATGACTACAACGCATTATCATTGATTTGAAAAGAAACTGAGTCTGATTTTTCACTAGTAGATTTCTGAAAAAGCGAACGTCTGAAATCGTTTAGCATATTTCTTGCTTGCCAAATATTAGACTACCCACACACCAACAACTAATGCATTTTACTGTCAACGTATTACAACAATTACAGACGGGCACCACATTGAATCTACAATTATTTGACCATATTTACCATGGGAGCGTTTCCACAGTTAGGCGAACCATGTGTAATATTATTGTAAACGCAAGTGAAGTTTAGAATGTAGTAGATCATCGGACATTTCGAAACGTGATTGAAGAGTGGAGATACTACTTCCAAATATGGTACGATCGATAGATTGGGAAATGTTAAAAAAGCAATCAACCGACCTTACCATAACATGGGGTTACATCACAGATACATCAATCTATTTGAGTATCGTCTACCAGTTAAGCTTTACAACGGCAGGAAAAATCATATCTTTTAAGTAGTATAGTACACACATTGGCAAACATCTCCAGGTTATTAGTGTACACTATAGGAATCGTACTTGGCCCCAACACAATATTATCTTAGGTGGCCATCACAACAAAAACAAGACCCCTGTCCACATTATTTTAGATAATACGTCTTCGCATTACCCGTACCGGAGTGGATTTGCAGTCATTTGATACTACTAAATTTTATTTTGGCACAAAATTGATGCGGCACGGCCACCGTGACGAGTTGCATTATGCAAACTTTACGACAGATGTTGCGTTTTTAGTTCAACTCTTTAGAAAAACACTTGAAACTCACTGATGAAGATACAAAGCTACTATGGATTAACGTGTTCAAAGTGTGATATGTTGACTTGGGCTTACGCAAATTTGTCAGATTCTATGCTGTTTATTGATGAGTAATCGATATTCTTCCTTAGTGAGATCTATTACATTAAAAAATGAACATTTAGGTACTTTTGTGCTTAATAAAAGAGGACCAATGCTTCCTGGGGACGGAATTAGTGACCGTGAAACTGATTGGATACGGACACTTCCAATGATTTAAGTGAAATTTCCTAAAATAAACTGTCTACAAAAAACATAACAGCCGATGACTAACAACGGATACAGATAAGGCTTCAAAGGACTTTATTTTATTTTTATAGAGGATTTGAAGATTGTTAGCATTAACGGTCGAATAACAATAGGTGATTTTGTCTTGACAATGTCAACAGCTAGAACGTGGGACCAGGCATACATATGTATCGGTCCAAGTTGCCATAACTCAACAGCACGACAAGATGATCAAAACTAAATTCATAGGAGCGGTTACTTCAAAACATTTCGTACACGAATATGATACAGGAAAAAATAATTAGTTCATAGGAAGAAGGGTATAGGGTAATTTTATTCTCAGGGAAGACAAAGAGTATAAACACCTACGCCATTGTAATCGATTCTGAGCCATGTCACCAACCATTGGTTACGATAGTCGCGCGAACGCCAACCAAGTAGTCTGCATCTACCAACACGACTCAGACTAGAAACCAGTGACTTCAAGCACTGACGCCACGTTTTGATTTGGCCACCCCTAACATTCTTAGAACCATCCCCAATACTATTCAGCATTGTGCGTCGTGGTAATCGGTGTTCAGGCATACGCAACACATGGCCCAACCATCTCAGTCGATGAAGATTCATAACCTCATCGACCGATTTACCATCATCCCCTGCATCTAACCTCACTATTACTCACCCGGTGATCCCAGTAGATGCCAGCAATATTTCTAAGGCACCTGTGGTCAAATACTAGTAGCTTACGAGTATCTTCTTCTCTTAACGGCCACGTTTCGCTGTCGTAAATTAAATCAGAACGAACTGCCGCGCAGTATACTCGTCAATTAATTGATAGACGGATATCTTACCTTCGCCATAGGTGACGTAAGTTGGCAAAAACCAAACAAGCCCATCGAATCCGTGCTGAGATTTCGTCAGGCACCAACCCATTAGGGCTGATCAGACTTCCAAAATAAGTGAAGTTGTCAACGCGTTCGACTACTTCACCTCCTATCCTTAGTTCAGGTGTTGACGCAGACCAGTCCTAAAGCAACAACTTGCATTTAGAGGGAGAGAAGCGCATCCCAAACATTCTGGCATTGTTGCTCAGTGCTACCAAAAGACTCTGCATTTCATCAGCGTCTTCACCAAACAGGACTATGTCGATAAGTGGACCTCCTGGTAGGAGGTGACTAGGAAAATCGACGGAAACTGCCTGAAAACATAAACTCATCCCAACCGAAGAAAACGTTTGACGACAATGCTTTAACGGTTACCCTGGTTTTAATGACTTATAGACTAACATTATTTTATAAACCCAGTCATCACACATAAATCCATGCAATATTAAGGGCAGAGCGTAACATACGATTGTGTATCTAACTAGTCCTAAAATTCTACCAAGCCCTAGACCCTACCATGCCATTTGGGGGTAAATGGTGTCCGTCCCGAGCAAGACACGAAACTACAACCTTTGAAATAGATGCCCGGAACACAAAAGCTAGGGCCAGGTTTTGTATTTTAGCCATCAATATTCAATACTATCATTACCTTTTACTGAGAACTGAAGACAAACCTTTTAACATAATAGCAAGTGTATAACCTTCATTACATAAGATGAAATCGAACGACTGAGGTCCACAATGCGCAAATTCTGATTTATTTCCCAATTAAGCACCCCAGTGAACAAATTGAAGAATCAGGAGTAGTAACACCCAAAGATGTGACAAGAGCGGTGTTAGATGGAAAAATAAAACTCGAAAATTAGTGACCAGATAACCAACAATAAAAACTGAAAGTGACTCAGCTAGGAACAAATATTAAATGTATAAGTGGGCTCAAATTTAGGTTACAGAAAATCAACAATGTCATCAGGCATCTCAAGAATTTCTGTATTGAAATATTGCTGCAAGTCACTTAGAGCTTCTATTTCTGATTCAGTGATAAAGTTGATGGCTGTACCTTTTCTTCCAAAACGACCTCCTCTCCCGATTCTGTATAAGTGAAAATTATATATAATTAGAACAAACCTGTGGATATATGTCTCACGATTGCTAGGTAAGTCATAGTTCACGACTAGAGAGACTTGCTGTACATCAATACCACGAGCTAGAATATCAGTGGACAGCAAAATTCGTGATCTTCCACTACGGAATTCCTCCATAACTGCATCACGTTTTTCTTGATCCATATCACTATGCTAAAGAATAGAACATTTAGTAGGTTCAACATAGCAAATTACAATGCACGAAACTTGGAACTTTTTGAGTCTAAGCTCATTACAAATATGTGTGGACTTGTTTACAGAGTTAACGAAAATAACGACTTGACTTAAATTCATTATTCCATATAGGTCCATTAAGGTCTCTAATTTGTAGTCTTCTTTGGACACATTAATATAAAACTGTTTGATCCCATCCAATGTTAATTCTTCTTTCTTAATCAGAATTTGAACAGGATCATGCATTATACTCCGTGCAATAGAAAGTATTGATTTCGGCATAGTGGCAGATAGTAACATGATCTAGTTTTAAATGAAACCAAACAAAAGTGAAATTACTTGAGCAGTTTCAGGTAAAAATCTATATATTTCTTTAATTTGGGGTTCAAAACCACGATCAAGCATTTGATCAGCTTCGTCCAACACGAAAATCTTGATATTAGCGGTTGCCAGAGTATTACGATTCATCATATCAAAAACACGGCCGGGAGTACCAACTACAACATGCTGACCCTGTTGCAGGCACGCCATATCTTGAGAGGTTCTTGTCCCCCCGATACACGTATAGCATTTGACGTTTAGATAGGAACCAATGCGTTGCACAACCTGAAATTTTTTATTATGGATACGCTAATTACCGTTTGGATTTGTCTTGCAAGTTCTCTGGTTGGTACGAGGACAAGGGCTTGACAAGTGTTTGATGAAACATCTATCCTTTGTAAAATGCTGATGGCAAATGTTGCCGTTTTTCCTGTACCGGACTGAGCTTGAGCGATAACATCACGACCCTCGATAGATGGCTTAATTGCTCGCTGTTGAATGGCTGATGGCTTTTCATAACCATAACCATATATACCACGAAGAAGTTCTGGTTTTAAGTCCAACTTCTCGAAGCCATCGACTACTTCATGATAATTGGTTTCGATTTCAGAATCTTCTACAGAATTACTGGAACGTTTGCCGAAATCAATATATTAGTGAAATATAAGTATAGAGAAAAAAACTGAGAAGGTAATTATGACAACCGTTTGTTCACTTAACACGATATAAACTATCGTATAAGCCGCAAAACTATATATTTCTCTAAAATACCAGGGATTGATAATCTTTAAAAAGTACTTCGTTTTAGATTTTGCGTAAAATGTTTGTACGGCTTTTACTTACGTTACTCGAAATACAAATAACTTCATTCACTGAAACAAATGAACTCATCAATGGCAAAGATAATGATCAATTAGTACTTCACAGTTTAGTTATTCCGAGTGTTATTACAATCAAGTTCAGTGAGCGTCTTGTGAGTGAATATTGAGCGGAGCAGTGTTCAAAGCCTCTAGACTTCACTCAACAAGTCCAACGTTTAAAACCCTCTCAACCTACTTCATCTGGGTAAACTGGCAGTATCACGAGCACTCAAACTGGTTGAAGCCAAGTACACGAATATATGTCTAGCAAATGGAAGGATGCCTAAGTCGATCCATCAAAGTATTAAAGATCGGTCAACCACGAAACCCATCTTTGATGTCCAAAAGTCGAGTATTCTAAACTGTTTACTAGTTTCGATTTAAAAGCCTTCCAAGACAAATAATTGTCAAACAACCGAGGGTAATTACACATATGAACTAGATTTTATGGCAGATGTCTAGTCAGAAAACTACCTTACAGAGAATAATGGGAATGCATCGAGAATAAGGGGACCGGTTAAAGAAACTCGTCTCAAGGAATGTATAAACTTGTTATAAAGCAGTGAAGCGTAGTCATGTACGTGTATAAGTAAAATAGCTGCTTGATGAGATAACAAGCTTAATATTCGCGACCCGAATTTGAATAGTAGGACGTTTGAATTATTGCGACTAAGAAATCTCGTACATGTTTGCGTACTGAAATACACCAAACTTTAAGAGCCGTGTGTATTTCCTGGTCACCAAAACTGAAGTATGTTGAATTGGGAAACTTACAGTTAAGTGGTTGAAATATGAAATGAGTAAACTTTCACATGATATACAATCAGTAATAACTAACTGTACTACCTGGCTGAGCAAACCGAAGTACTTTGAGCGAGAATAGTAAAAGCCGACCTTATTTAGTGCGAAACGCAGTCTCGAAAGTGTTGAAATTATTTATCGTCAGTGCCTGGACGTCATACCTAGAAACGATAAATAGATAAGTGATAGGGAACTACATATTCGTTACGAATCCTTCACACCTTTTACAAGTTCAAAAGTCAGTTTTAGTTTAATCGGGTTTATACGGTTATATATATATATATATATATATATATATATATATATATATATATATATATATAACTGGCTAAATGCAAACGACGATCTCAAATGAATTCCGTTGTTTCTGATTTGCTTAACTCATAGCAAATATGCACATGAATCATGTGTACAGAAACAGAAACTGTGTTAACATGCGAATGAGCAGAAAAAGGATTTTTAGGTCGAAATCCATCTAAACACAACTGGGTGGAGCGAGAATCTTAAAAAGTTACCGGTAGTGAGTACCAACCGTCACCAGATCTTTGAGAGATCATGGTCTCAGCAGAACGTCCGCCCCATCGCGAAAACAAAATTGGTTTACTTGCAGACAAACTAACCATGTTATTAGCTCTTGACTAGTTCAGTGGTTCCTAGCTTAGTGCTTTCAGTAATAACATGAAATACTGGAACGATTTTTATAACAGGTCTGGAAATCACAAAGAAGTCATAGAAGCATTTACTAGTACTGTTCTTGGCTTCAGGAGAACTTAACCAGACAAGATGAGGACATCCCGGATATAATAACAATATCAGTGTTAAACTGTACTGACTCCAAAGATCCGTCTTACTAAACGATTGATTTAGTGATACTGGTCATAGTGGTAATGGTCTTAAAATACTGCTACCTAAATTCCGACTATGTTGCTTTGTAGACCTGGTGGATGGCACAATACCAACCTCATTTAGTAGTAAGTTAACCAAGCGACAGATTAAGTATTCATGAATTCTTAGGACATTTGGGGGAGGACTATGTTACCGCAAAATGGAATCCTAAAATGGACCAGGATACTGTATTTTCAATAAATAGATGCAAAAATACATTACCATTACACAAGGAAACAATTAACACAAACTTCATCACATTAGGAATATGTGTGGTATGACTAAAGCGGACTCTGTTGAAATGATATAACACAAGCAAGTCATGCGACTTAAGACAGTAGTAGACATTTGAGTTGATTTTCAATTCACAATAATAATGAATTATCTTCCTCTCATTAAATTTTGGAGTACAGAAAATTCATGCTAAGAAAACCCAAAATGAGATTGCGAGGTATGCCATACTTAGGTCACACATTCGAATTGGATCTCAAGAGCTGATTATTTATATATTAGTTGAAAATGAGCTTCCTAAATGTTATAAAGCTGAATGACTTTGTAAGATCTGTGACGGCTCATTCCTGTTACATTCTAACAGAAGACAGTCTACAGTCTGTAATCTGAATTTTTCTTACATGCTACTTAGGAATTTCAACGAGTGCTATGATCCGAAAATGCTTTACTAAGTTAGGAAACTTGATAGTACACCAGCTAAAAGCCAATGTTTTATAAAGGAAATAACGTGTAATTAACGGACCTCATAACAAACAATTAAGCGTGACAGAAGACCAAAGCGCGCTCTTCCTGATGTGAAGACTTTTCGAAATACTATTTGACTAAACACAGTACAAAAATGCTGGTCTAAGACACGAAATATATTATGCTATCCTTTCATAAAACTATATCAATTTTATTATTTGACCATATAAAAGTGTATGTTTTTGAAATTGTTACCAGGATAACCAATGAACACTATTATCAGCATCTGTGAATATGTTTATCTGTCAAAAATACACATTTGATCAGATTCTTTTCTTGGTCTACTGAAACAAGGAAAATAGATTTATACCTTTGTGTAGACCATCAGACAGTGAAAAAATTGACACAAAAAGCCTCTTACGGATCTTTTTAAAGAATAATATAAACACATATATGTGGGCATAATGAAAATATTTTGATTTGCTTTTTCGACAAAATCTGTTCAGAATCACATCTAAATGAATTATCATTTTTGTCTTTTCACACGATAAAAATTGATAATGATAACTCTGGAGTGTAGATAATAAAAAGTAAAATAACAAACGACGTCTAACATGTATAACATACGATTGTCATCTAAGTGCTCTGAGAACCTCTCAGAGCATCAAGAGTGAAACATTGTGGGCTGATTATCAGGTACCGGTGATGTTTTGGCGTGGTCACCAACTCGCTGGGACTGCAATTTAGTCGTAGTATTTTTGTATCTTTCGAAAGTTTTGGTGGTACCGTCGTCAAAGAAGTTTCCTCCTGAGTAACTAGATTCTAGCTGATCGGTGCTGATGTCATCGTACGTTCCGTTCTCATTATTGGTATAGTACTTGGGTTTGGACTCTTAAGGGCTCTCAAGATACTTCGTGCACGCAAAATAGTACGGCGGGTTGGACGAAAATACAGTTAACTACACTCGAATAGAAGCGGTTTACTTGGACGAATCGCGTGTATAGGCTTGCTTATTCAAGATATTAGATCTATGTTCACGAAAGAAACTGAAGTATCCACAACTTCTTCTGGAAGTTGAAATGTGTCGTAAACGAGTTTAGCTGCACCGCATACCACGTCAACAACCACTTATTATGAATTCCGAGTAATACGAGTGGATGTCAGTGCATTTTGATAGATTTGCATCCAAGTATAAAGCTTTCAACGGTCTATGAAATCTGTCTACCAACCCGTTGGCCTGTCTGATGTGCGATTGTTCGGAATCATATAATGCCTATTTATTCATATCAGACCAGCAAAATCGTTCTGCTTTGGGCTTGATGGTAGTACTATTAACTCGACCAGGAGGTTTACACATTGTATTGAAGACATTGCGTCGACAATTTTTCGGCACGATTACACCCGTAGATGCGTCATAGTTTCCTTACCTATTCCCATCTGATGACTCTCAATCTAGGAGTTGCAGTTGACAACTCATGCTGAAGATCTAGGCGGACTTAGGAGTCTCTGAACTCTGGAAACCCTTCGGGAAATTTATAAGTGTAAACGAAATTTCACATCTCTGAGAACATCAATGATGAATATCTGCAAAGTTATCTGTGGCTCACTATCTCACTCTAGTTATATCGTATGATGACTGCTATCGAAGCTCACAAAACGGCTACCCTAGTATATAATATTCGACCTTAAACGCGTTGGTGAATAACGGAGTAAAAACACGTCAAATACATGAATGGATTTCAAATACGTATATATCATGCAGTCGTTGATTCAGATAAACTATCAAAGAAACAAAGCGGAAAAAAAGAAGAGAGGGTGCAGTGAAACAGAATGACATGCAGTAGAGAAGGCTAGTCAGCCAGATCGAATCGATATTTTCAGTTAAACGAAACTAAGTTACAGACATGTGATGAATAGATTAAGCCATATTCACACAAATGACCATATAAAAATAGTCAGAATTAATAAGCGAAGAGGTAACAAGGCCAAAATGTGACTTGAGAAGAATAGATAACTAGGTGTCCAGAAGCTAGAATAACCTATGTGTACTTGACGTATGGCCATCCATTACACGTTTGCGCAGTACGTTTCAAACAGAAAGTGATATGTTAATATTCATAGGATCTTCAGGGAATAATGAATGTCATTATGGGAATGTCATCAGGAGCCACAGGAATTTTATCACACACTTTGACCAAGTCGGTTATCGGAGGAAATTGATACTTTTCAAGGTTGCCCTCAGTTCGTGGATACGACAACAGATAGTAAGCGGGAGTGCTCTCCTTATCGAATCATCGATCGTATCCTGTCAGATGTCAGTCTTTGCTGTCTTTTCTAGTGAGCATGTGAAAAGTAGATGCCCATGAGCTGTTTGATGGCCAGAATATTCCTATGTCTATCACATGTGCAAATTGGCTTTTGGCCAAACTTAGCTTTTCACAAACCATTTGGCGACCTTTCTGAAACAGAGGTTGGCCTCGGTCTTTACACGGTGTGTAGCATTGTTCATTACAAACGGTAATCTTGGTCGCATTTTGAGTTCAGTGTACTCTTCAGGTGTCCGCTGGAAAGAAGGATCGATTTTATGATTTAATCGTGTCTAGACATTGTATACAGCCAGAAAACGAAGTTCCACTAACAGATAACTTAGTATTACTGTCCACGAACCTTCGTGTACTCAGGTCAACCAGTACGTTATAGTTTGTAGTAGGTCTACGCCAATGAGCGTAGGTGTGTCCGCGCCAACGAAAATCCTCTGGATAGGTTTAGGTAAACTTATGCTAATGTAAATGTAACTTTTATCATGACCATCGATTTTTATTTTTGCCGCTAAGCAAATGTCTTGATACGATCGATGGTGGGGAGAGTCGGCTCGCTTCATCTCCTTGTGGATTAGATCTTTAGGTCAAAGGCTAGGAGTGTAGCCCCCTAAGAAAACTGCCTGCTTATGTTTGAGCTTCCAGGCAATAACCCAGCACTCATACAAGTCGAATGATTTACTGTTTATGTTGCTTAAATAAAATTAATAATGAATAATCATTGCCAATGACGATGAAGTTGTGAATTTTTGTCATAAAATCAGGGACAAAACATACAGTTTTATTCGCCAGATACAGTTTCCATTAATGCGTGCTTGTTGGAGAGTTTCGTGAAGGTTTTTTGACAGAAAGAATGAGGTTAGACGAACTGGTGTGGAAACGAATATTTTTTCGTAATGAGCTTTCATGAAATCGTCTACGATCATGACGAGAGGCTATAAAACTATTGATAGTAAAACAGAGGTTGGCAATTTCGTCTTGGGTTCATTGAGCCTTTTTTGTTGGAACAAACTTAGATGCTGAGTGTTTTGATTATATTCAGGATAGAATTGTCAGACGGATCTAGTTCGTCTAAGGTGTTTTTTGAATTGAAGTAAGGATCGCTCGATTAAGTTGGGGAAGTTTGGATGGAAAGGACCGTTCGATATGGCGTTCTTCCGAATTTCGTTGGCCATTGACCTTTCTCATACATGGCAAGCTACGTCACAGTTCATTACTATAGAACAGTTGGTTTAGATTATGTCGATTACTGGTACTTGCAAATTTTTCCGGGGTCTTTTATTGGAGCACAGTCGATCGGTTCACTCGTAACTTACTACTCAATAACAATAGAACCAAATACCAGTTCTGGTACCAAAATTTCATTCACAAGTTACACGTAATCAACCTGTAGGATTATGGTCTAGTTCGGTATTGGTATTTTTATCTTGGCTACTATAACAATAGGCCTAGTCCCAAAATTGTAGATTTGACGTGATATGACTAACTAATCTGTAAGATCATATGTGGAAGTCAAATCATTATCTATTCTTGCTCATCGTATCGGGACAATTAACAATATGATGTTTGATACTTTTGAAGACAAAGTAAAATATCTAACGTGAATAGGGATTGTCAACACGGAATTACCATGCGTGCAAGGCCAAGTCATGTGATGCCAAACCATTTTTTAACCTCTAAGTGTTATATGTTGAATGTAACTTCTCAGTGATTATATACTCGGCTTCAGAGGTTGTGTTGTTAGGAACCAACACCACCACAAGTAACGACTTTGCATTCCTTCGCGGATAATTGTGTATCCATCCATGAATGCCCGTTTGAGTAACCAAGACGATACAAAAATCACTTATTCATAATTATTAGTTGTAATTTCAATCAAATAAACATTTCTGACAGCAATGACAAATGTACACATTATAAACATTAGTTCTCCTGTTGTAAATTCAGATAAAGTACCGATTGGTTTTCCGTAAAACTCATCAGGCGACATTTTCTCGCCATAATTAAATTGAATATCTATTTCCCATATTGTTTCGTGGTAGGGCCCAATGCCACCACAAACTCACTATTTATAGATAATTAATATTCTAATTTCACCTCAGCAATATTATTGCTATAGACAAAGCCAAAGAAACATCCAACTATTTCTAAATATCACTTTTCTTCGACAGGATCTTTTTTAAGAAGTTTTTTAAACAACCATACTCATGCATATGTGGTGGTACTGGATCATAAACGCACAGTCTTCGAAGCTGAACACATAATTACTGAGAAGGTTCACTTTCAGATATTTAACACTGAGAGAACGCCACCGCGGGGATATTTATTCAGTCAGATGGCATGACCCAGCCCCGCAGACCTGATCTATCTGTATAACGTGTATTCATTCACATTAAATACACCATCTTATCTTTATTCCAAATGAGTTCTTCAAAACGCTAAACGTTGAATTGCTGATTCGTAGGATACGACGAGTCAGTGTGGACAATGATGGAACTTTCGCGTAAGAATTCATATATTAGGTAGTCAAACCATGACAAATCGTTTAAATGATGCCGACGTACCGTCAGGCTAGGGATCCCTAATGATCGATCAGTAACCTGTTGGTCGTATAGGTTTTACTGGTCTGTGTAGACATGTAGGGCCAGTGAAAAGGCACAGCACTTGCCAAATCATCCCTTGTCAGTTCATTGAATATCGGTTAGTTGAATGGTCTCCGTCAAGGTCAGGGGGAGCAAACATGCTTCAGTTAACTGCGCTTCATGAACTGGCCAATGAGGTGGTGGTCTCCCCCGTTCCTTGTACCTTCTCACACTGATATAGTACCTGAGTTCGATGAAAGTGTAAGGTGAGGTGTTATTTTGATATGAATTCGAGACTGATAGCCCTAAGTTGGACATAAATTTAATTTCCGTTGTAGTCATAATTTTACCCCGTTCTTATAATAGTACTATATTTATCATATACCACATGTCAGACTGATTCCAGGCAAAAATTCCGGAGGATGAATGTAATGTGTCACCGGTAGAGATTGACACTTTTGTGATTACGAAAGTCCGACTCCCAGGATTTGATTCAAGTTGTGGTTTGCTCAACTAGTGCATAATTTCACGAAAGACAGTATTAAACCTGAGGGAATTCGATATCGAGATTTACGTTCTGTCCCCCTTTCCTCAGTCGCTAAAAAGTTCGTGACTTAATTTTAAGTCTGTCATCACCACAACCATACACCATTTTAGGACGAGAGACAATGAACAGTCTACGTTTATCAGACGGTCAAAGAATCCAAAGACTTTTCCAGGGAGAGACAATAAGCGATAAGTCACCACTGCAGTTCTCATGTCACCTCCAATTCTTAGTGGGTGACAACACAGTGGGTGAAGCGGCCCTAAAACAAATATTGATACCAGATCTCCCATGCCACGTTCAACACTATTTGAATGCAGATGAACCTGAAAAATTTTTAACTCGCCCGAGGAATATTGCAGATACATCAATGAAACGAGGTCCCCCGGCCAGATGAAGTATGATACATCATACACAAAAAGAAGAATCTTCAAAAGACCAGATCATAGCGGAACTCGTTTTGAGTGTTAATAGTCTCACAGAGGTTGTTACCAAAATGCAAATAAATCATAGAAGCAGAAACGGGTCACCATGACAACCGATATCTAAGTTACAGGGCATGTCACGAACATCCAGACTCTCTGTACAGTTCTGTTGGTATCGCCGGAAGTCTGTTATCAACTCAACCAGGTTCAGTCGACCATATGCCTGGCCTAAATAAATTCCCAAGAATATGGGAAACGGATTATGTTTTTTCAGATTTCGATGATTGAGGAGAAGTGCCCAAACAGTCGCTTGTTTTATTCTAAAGACAAAAATTTAGGCTTGAATCTTTTGATGGATACCGGTGCTGCTCTTAGTATCATTCCTCAGATCAAAACTGATTTGGGTTGAGATACTTCTCCAGGTACACTTCGGGCTGCCAAATAAACTAAAATCACGACTTTTTGCAGAAAACGTTGACAGCAGGTCTGAGGATAAGGAAGAAAATTCCCTGTGTCTTCACCATAGCCGATTTATATCTAGCAATTTTCGGAATGGACTTTTTAGAGATACGGATTTCCAGTCGACACAAAAAACGAACTTTGACGCCGAAAGAATCTTCGAGTTGCATAAAAGACAAAGAAGGTCGCATTGTAGTCAAGAACACAGGTGGAGACAACCGAATATATTTAGCACAAAATTACAGAGTTAGTTGATAAAACAGAAAAACCATACTTCAATATTTAACTCGCAAAATGTTCATTAATTGTTTCAGACTTCATTGTTCCTGCATTTCCATGCCAATCGCTTTCTGTTCTCGTTCTTTCCTTCTTGATCTTCTCAATCTTCTGCTGCCAAACATTATGTTCCTGAGGCATTATGTGTTGCTTATGCCGATATAAGTAGCACAAACCACTGCATCACGTCTCTAAATTCACTACAAACTTTGCCAACAACGACTGCTATATTCCAGGATTTACTAACAGAATTTCGAAATCTAGCCAAGCTGAATCCTTGGATTTTAAAAAGTAAATTGATGATAAGTAGTACAGTTGAAACTCAAGGCGCACTTGTGTTTGCTAGGTCTTGAAAACTATCACTAGATGGGCCTAAAATCGCTCGAAACGAATTCGACTACATGCTACAGTCAGATATTATCCCTTCGTCTAATAGCCGTTATACATCTCTTTTGCATATAGTCTGAAGGAAAAAATGAAAGTGATTGACAACCGTGCTGAGATGACAGATCTTTCAACCGCCAAACAATATCAGATAGGTACCCAATACATCGCCTCTTAAAATTTAAGAATAAAAACCTATTTTCTACTAGCCTGGTTTCTTCTATCGGTAGAACGAGGAGTACTCACGGATACCAAACTCGAGAAAGCTCCCAATTATTCGGCACGGGTCATCTGTGCTGGCAATCTGCAGACCCACTGGCACCTGAAAAAGACATCTATAAATTTACTTCCGTCCATTTCTAGGCGGTAGTGACATTCAGAGTCGTTATATTTACCAAGGCTTCTTTACATTGGAGACCCGACTGACTAATTCTTCACCTTCCAATGAAGTATGAGAAACGCTATGCAGAAAGACGTAAGTTTTTAAAGTTTCATTGGCAATATACGGTTTAACCGGAATAATACCCAAACAAACCTTCAATGAGCTCTAATTTCAGACTAAATTCCCTACATAGATATCAGTGCCATCACTATGTAACACTGGATGATGATGAATCTAGCAGTTCTCAATGTCACACTCTAAGCGTAAGCTATATGACCTAGATATGTGACGCTTTCTAAATCAAAGATAAAACAGACATCGTCTTTCTTCCCATCTCCGTAGTGTAACGTTCATTTTCGATAGCTTCATACCATTTGTCACTTTGTGAACATTGACATAACTCGTAAATCACGAACTTAGTGGAGTCTAGAAAATCACTTTTCGGAGAAGATCAAAAATAAATTCACACAGATTTATAATACTTTACAACCTGGATAACATTATGATTGAGTAACTTCTTATATTTACATAAAAGAGACATTTGTATGTTGTTGTCAATCTGCAAGAACTTAGTGTTCAAAAATGACCCACCGAAGTTAAATGTGAGAATTCTGTTGAACCGTAAACCTAAGGTGTGCAACCCAAATAATTAGCTAGGATTGTCAGGGGATTTAATTAAAAGTAAATTACAACCAACTTATTTAGTTGGACGCTACCTATAACAAAGAAGCTTGTATACAGTTGTCATCTTAATTGTTCTAGTTCAAACAAAATGACCGAGAATGCTGACTAGTAATATATTCTACAGGTGGCGGATGACTCTCAGCATGTAGTTTGTCAAGATAAAAATGTTGTTTTACGAATTTGATTATTGTATATTGATCTTACTTTGTATCTGCTTCTTGAAGTGGCGCGTTTTGCACATTAGTGTCAGACTGTGGTATTTTGTTGGTTGTGGTCAAATTCCGGTAAATAATCTACTAATAAATATGACTGAATAATTGTTTTTCCTCACACTTGTTTTTTTCTTTTGCTCGCAGAACCTATTTTATGGTAAATTTGCGAGTGTAATAGAGCGCATATATATATCAGCATTCGGATTTTGGTTGAAAAAATATATTTTGATTATTGTGGTTCAAGGTTTTGGGCTTCTGTTGTTTTCTCAAGTGATAGGTATGTTAACGTGCAAGTGGTTTTGTTTTATTAGTCTTTGGCGTGGTACTAGGACACCGTTAGACGCAGTTGTTTGTCTGAAAGTTAGAACGAGACTATGCTTTTGATTTTAACCGACAATTAGGTTGTATGCATTTAAGTACTTGCACTTGATGAGACTACGATTTATGGGAATGTCCACCAACTCACTATGGTTATAAGGTTATAGGTTAGTGTGAGGAATTAGGGTTAGGATTACAGTTGAACACTAGGATTTGTAATTAAATTTAATGTTCCCATCACGAACTGACATCAGCTATAATGTAAAGATGATATCCAATCAAATGATTAGATGAAATCCGCTCCAAGATTGAAGACCTGATATATTTCACTAATTATTTTATTTGAACACATAAATATTGGTACAAGGGGGCACCAAATATATATGCGCGACACAAAACAGAAGACCTGATATAATAAGTTTAGTTAGTCTCGCCATAAATTAGCTTCACTCATGTGTAGAGATTCCATACTATTTCTGTCAAGCTTGTAATAACTAAGTGACTTCTTTGTTCTCGTTTCTTGTTTTGGTACAGTCCCGGGTATTTAGTTAGGGGAAATGAGTGGTATTTTAGTCTCTTGACCACTAGTTCTAGTCAGTGTGGTATTCATTTGTGGCTTTGTTTATCTTGTAGTCAAGTGCCTTTGTCTCAGGGCAGTAGAGTTTCCGGACGCCAGCAACTACCAAGTTACCAGTCAGGAGGTTGGTTGGTTGCAATAGAAGCGACAACTCGAGTATTAAAAGATGACAATTATTCCACGGATAAATAAATAGTTTAATTAATTGATGTGTAAAAAAATGGAACCGAAAATATAAAAGTAGTAGTAGATGTTGTCATGATAACTGTGGTAATTTATGAGACATATATAAGACACTGCTGGTCCAAGAGGGGGATGGTGATCCACGGGTGAGTACGCTTTTTTCAAATCTCTCGAATCAATCCAGTAAAGAAGCTGTGTTCGCTTTACTTATTTAATTATTTGAACATATAAATATTGGTAAAAGGGGCACCAGATGCATGTGTGCATTAAAAATGGTGTGGGCGCTGTGATACTGCCCGAGTGCCCAAACAGAAACAGATGGTTTTCTTAGGGGGTCACACCCCGAGACTTCGACCTAAAGGTCTGATCCACAATGCAGTTTTATTTATTTATTTATTTTAACACATAGATATCGGTACAAGAAGGCACCAAATACATATGCGCCACACAGATCTCATTTGATATGTGTGAGGGTTGTGATACTGCTCGGGTGCTCAAACCGAAGCAGGTGGTTTTCTTAGGGGGTCACACCCCGAGCCTTCGACTTGAATGTCTGACCCACAAGGCAGTGAAGCATCGTAAGGAGATGCAGTCCCATGGTAGCCGGTGACCAACGATTGGTTCATACGCCATTTGTTCCTTCAGGATACTGGAGCCCATGTGCACCATTGGTTTGGGATCCGGTTATAGCGCCGGAAATTCGCCCCCAAATGCCCTGGTACGGTCGAGAGTGGGGAGAGTCCTCTCTCCCTCTCGAAATGCTCTCACATGGCCACGCGTATATAGCCTGTGCCAGGGAAGTCCTGTGCAGGGGCCATGCTAATCTTCTCTGTATCGTTCCAATTTTAGTATATGTACCGCCGAAGCGGTGGCTTGGACATGTTCTACGAATGTCGTCCCAGAGAATTCCTCGTTGTGCATTATTTGCCGACTCTGGGACTGGTTGGAAAAACGGAGAGGTGGTCAGTATATGACATGGTGTCGTGATATGAAAGAAAGCTGCAAAGGGCTAGCTTCTGTTGGTCCTTCAAGTCTCCCTGGTTGGGGTCCGAAAGACGGTGTAACGCAGTGGCTAGAGACGTTATCAGATATAGCTCAGAATAGAAGCCATTGGCGATCCTGCTGTAACCTTCTTTTACTTTCTTCATAAAAAGTGGTTGTATCTTCCTTAACTGAAAGATCTCTTCTGATTGTACCTTTCCGTTTCCCCCACCATTGTTCTGTCTCTCTCTTTTTTTTATAATTCCCCACGTTCATTACTTTTTTTTTCTCTTTTCTCCTTCTCTTCAAATTATCATTGTTTTATGTGGCGCATATATATTTGGTGCCCCCCCTGTACCAATATTCATGTGTTCAAATAAATAAATAAAACGGAAATCCTACTCACTGTTTCTCGTGGCGCGGTTTTGTTTACGAAAATGAGAGGACGAAAAGCGAATGTCCGGCGCTTTAACCGGATCCCAAACCAATGGTGCACATGGGCTCCAGTATCCTGAAGGAACAAATGGCGTATGAACCAATCGTTGGTCACCGGCTACCATGGGACTGCATCTCCTCACGATGCTCCACTGCCTTGTGGATCAGATCTTCAGGTCAAAGGCTCGGGGTGTGACCCCCTAAGAAAACCACCTGCTTCGGTTTGGGCACCCGAGCAGTATCACAACCCTCACACATATCCAGTGAGATCTGTGTGGCGCATATGTATTTGGTACCTTCTTGTGCCGATATCTATATGTTGAAATAAATAAATAAATAATAACCCGGTAAAGCACCGGACATTCGCCTTTCGTCCTCTCAATTTCATGATCAACACTCCCACCACGAGAAGGCAATGAGTAGGACTTCCCTGGCAGTAGTTGTGTGTACGTGGCCATATGAGATCATTTCGAGAGGGAAAGCGAACTCTCCCCACTCTCGGTCATACCAGGGCATGTAGGGGTTGCGTTCCCTTCGGCTGGGAGAGCATCCGAAATGAGGGCAACTTGGGAAAAGTGAGAACGTACTTGGGCGTTTGCCATTTGATTTGCAATCCTGCGATGGTTGTGTGAAGCGTGGTGATGATGTCCTGGTATATCTTTGCGCTAGGTGGTTTGGTGTACTTCATATGTATTTCACTATAAGATTACCTCTTATTTCCCTGTAACCCAGTGAGAATAATCTCAGGTGCTAGTCTGTAGTAAGATATTTGTTTAAACCCTACTACATACGTAAATGTCCATCTTTGTACTTGGTTCAAGAGATATATGTTTCGAAGAAATGTGACACTACTACAACATTGTGGACTTCTAGGTGAGGCCATGCGTACGTTTTGAAGTGTTGGTAACAACTCTGGGATGATTGCGCCAAGTTCTTCACGCATGACGTTTATTTATTTTTTGAACACGTAAAGACTGGTTGGAGGGGACAACAAATACGTTGCGCCTCACAATAACAAAAAGGCCACAAAGAGATATACACTGTAAATTGCATATAATGATAAGGAAGGACAACAATCAACGAAAATTACTATGAGTGAAGTAATAATAATGAGAAAAGCAGTGCATTTAGCAAAAATACGAATAGAAAGAATTTTTTCAGTTCACTTTTATGAAGAACGTAAAAGAAAAATACATCAAGATCGCCACCGGCTTCTATATTGAGTCATGTCTGACAACGTCTCTAGCCAGTATTGCACTATTTCTAGGACCCCAACCAAGGAATTGTAAAAGTTCAATAGAAGTCAGTCCCTTACAGCTTTCTCCGGGTCGATGCGTTCGATTACTTCATTAACTGTCCTTAGTTCATGTGTTGATGCAGGCCAGTCCTGAAGAAACAACTTGCATTTAAGGGAGGAGAAGCGCATCCCAAACATCCTGGCATTGTAGCTCAGTGCTACCAAAAGACTTTTATCAGAATCTTCACCAAACAGGACTGTATCATCTGCGTTAACTCGATAAGTGGACCTCCTGGTAGGAGATCAATGCCCGAAAATACAGTCGACGAGAGCTTTATTTCCATCAGTAGATCTATGATGTAGTTAAGCAAAAATAGAGATACCACTTGAGGTCGCAAAAGCAGATAACAGTTCGCTGTAAGCTTTGACTCGACTGGCAGCGTCAGGAGCCGTTACAAAGTTTGTGTACTTCTGAGGTATGTCTTTCAATTACAGACACTGCTACAGAATCTCGTTTCAGAACTTCAGATAGCTTCGAGGGGCCTACTTCAATGTTCCATTCACGCTGTCCAGGAATGGTGGGTAGTTGTAGAGTAGCTGAAGGCCAGCTGAACTGCTCCTTAATATGTTCCGCCCATCGTTCTAGACGTCTGGAATGGGAGCAAATAAGAGCGTCGTCTTTTTCCGAGATAGTCTCGCACCTGAATTTTTAGTCCCAGTTTCTTTCATGAGTCTGAAGAGCTGTCTGTTGTTACTTACAGCTACCGCCTTTTCTATCTCTTTTGCTTTCGTTGCTCTCCACTGCTCACAATCATTCCTTAGACTTGTGGTTAACCTAGATCTGATTTGTTTTCGCTCATCATCGTGTTCAGAGCCTGATGGGATGAGTACGCGAATCCATCAGTGCAATAGACCTTGAAGAAATCCATTGATACTTAGTAACCCTTTGGTTTAAGTCATTAGTAGATGTCAGTGCTGTTTCCACAGCTGATGGTATATCTTTCTGAGCAACATCTGGATCAGCCTCGTTTTCAGAACTACCTAAGTGTGACCTCAGTTGTTCCCGGAACCTACTTTTGCTTTCCTCGTTACTCAGTTCAGTTCTATTGGGTCCTTTTAATGTGGCTTTTTTGCGTCCAGTAAGGCGCAAGCACATGCCTGCTCGTATTAGGGAATGGTCGGAGTCCACACAGGTACTCCAGAATGAGCGACAATCTTCTATTGACCCTCTCCAACGATGACTAATGGCAATATGGTCTATTTGAGTCCATCGTTGATATGGTGTAGGGGGTCGCCATGTTAGACAGTGTCTCTCCTTAAGCTTGAAATTTGTGTTTGCTGAAAATAAACGATTGTCTGAGCAAAGTTGCGGCAGACGATCACCATTATCTGTTCTCTGTGCCGGAATAATAAAATACCCACCTAAATGTCTTTCTGTTTCGTTTAAGCTACCTACCTGGGCATTAAAGTCACCTGCTACGAGTACTATGTCTGAACGTTTAGCTTTCTGAAGAAGTTCAGACAGCTTTCTGTAAAATTCATCTTTCACTTCATCCGAGCTGCAGTCAGTGGGAGCGTAGGCAGAAACGACGAAAAGGCAACGACGTGTGTCCCTATCCTTCAGAGTTCTTACGGAGCATCTTTTGATGGATCATGAGTCCTTGGTTGTGGTGCTAGATATGTTGTGATTCATGGGCTTGAGAGATGGACTTGTTTTCATCCATTTGTTTTTCATTATACTCACCCTCCTTGTTACAAATTTTCGACTCAATTGTATTGGTGCCTAGTTGTACCAGCATTTATATTTAGATAGAATAAGATAGGAATTTAATTAGACCATCTGACTAACAATGTGCTGATCCCCTCTTTTGTACAATATACCAGGTGTTACTTAATACATTACTTTCGTGATTTAATTTCTGTTTTACATTCGTTTTTAGGTATATTTCTGTAAATGAGATATGAAGTGCTCTTTGTTCTGTCTATATTAGTAAAATAACCACATAATTTAGAGATCAGCTATTTATTGAATGATTATGTCTATCTTCGCAAATCATGATGCCATTCATATGAATCATGGAGTCTCAGACGAATCCGTTTTATATACACATTCGTATTTAATTCCTCCACTAAATCAACTGGAAAATGATATTCTTAAATCAGATCCGGATATTCTTACATGTGTACAGTCTAATAGGTCTCATTCACCTAGTCAGCAAATATATGATATGCTCGATAGTACAGTTCTTTCTGATAATCGTAAGTTCTGTTTTTTAGTTATTGCGGGTATTCAAAATTTGGTCAATTGTTGATTGATCTCATGTATTTCCATTCGATTGTACATAGATTTCTTACCATATTCTTGGATTCATACAATCTAATAAATACTGGTTATATAAATATTCTTTCTTTTAAGATTACTTTAAAGATCACTCAAGTTTTATTGGAACTTGATGGACTTTGAAGATTTGGACTGTTCTTTCAACTGTTAATGCTCACGGTAATGATCAATTAAAAACAAAAAACTACTGAATAACTGTCTAATTCTATTTTGCGACGCCTGTTGTGCAGGAGCATTACTTATGGGGATTGGACTTAGCGCTTCAGCTGTTTAAGAGTCACGTTGGACTTTAAACTATTGTTTTTATCTAAGTGAATAATTCATGTTGTATTACGGCTTATCGCATCCCGTTGAGCACTGTAAACCTTATCAGGAATTAAAGCAAATGTCGAATAGATGACTGTACTTGGATCCTGTATGCTCGTTTCGAAGACGCAGCATACATCGATGGCACGAAATTTTAAGTCCTAGCTGAAGAAGCCTGTTGTTTTAATTGATACGAGGTTCGACATTGAGAGCTCTAACATGTAGTTTACAGCGTAGTTTCAGGAGACCAGGAATACCATTTAATCAGTTCAAGTCATTAGCGTTGGTGGCGCGTAGTGATAAAGATACTCAAGAAGAGTTATTTAATTAAACGACATAGTTCAAAATCGTTTGCAATGATACAGATGTGTCCATTCTCTGTCTTTCCCAAATTCTGAGTTTCTAAACTCCTCATAATGTTTTCGTTTTTATTTGATTAATTCATATTTGCTTTTCTAACTATATCTTCGATGCCTAATCCTTGCTATTACTACTGATACCGTTAGTTTCTCTACTATTCTGTGATTTAGTCTGACAATGTCATCTCTGTGTTAATGGAGTATGACTATGTACATATTTAAAAGGTTCTACGTTGTGACTAATTGGCTGACTAAAGCAAATGTCTTTAGACCATTATTTATAGTAACTTGGTCGATCTTCCATAGTTTTAAGTCGTTGCTCATGAGCTCGTTTTTTTCATCATACAACTCAATTTCAGAAAGTTTTATTCAGAGATTTAAATATCTTGAGCATTATGTCATTCTTTTTTATTTTTATTTTTCCTTTTAGCAATCCAAACCATAGCTAATTCTTCATGCAAATCTCAAATCTCACTAAAATCCAGTTCTTGCGACACAAGTAACGCCAATTTAAATGTCGATATAAAGCCCTCTTTCATTTATACTGATCATCCTCAAATAATTAACCAATCCTTCTTAACAGATCTACACAATCATACTGATATTCATACGGTTACTTCGGATATCAACCCTAATCTGTGTCCCATAGATGATTCAATTAACAGTGCTCATCTTCAAGAACTTGTTTATAACACACCTCAAAAAATTCATCATATGTTGCCTCCCGATGGTCACCAACACACTGTGTACCCTGATAATGTAGTATCAGAACCATTCACTTGTCTGCTTGCTTCTGGAAATTCAAACGAAACCTCCACATCTTATTTACCCCAAGTTACAAAAGTTGAGACTAGTTCTTCTCTTACCGTTTCTCAGTCGTAAGTTTTTTTCCTACTAGAGTTTTTTGTATCTCTGTTTGGGATTTTTTATTCTCATCATAGAGTATTGTCATATGGAACATTAAGTAACACGACTTGTATGCCAAGTACGTTTTTCAACCCTTAATCTATTGGTTGGAAACTGCTTCTTAAGCAATAAACTAACGCTTCACATTTTAAACGTACTCATTACACAATTAATGATACGAAACAGACTTCACAGCGACAACATTTAATTCTCTATGTTCTTTGATTTTTCACATAAGTGGAATATTTGATTTCATGCACTCAATCCCAACATTATGTCATTGTGAATACCAAGTTGATGTCTGATCGTAACTGCTACCTTGATGTGGCGATTCATGCCTGCCTCTCGTGATGACCATATGAGCTATGTTAGCTGAAACATTCGTTTTTTCAAGCCCTATCATGCCAGACAGATCGGTTGGAGAACGGTAACACTAAAATCAGCTACCTAAAGTTCGAAGGCGAAGTCGTACTATCGACTGTACAAGGATGTGACAGGATCTACAGCTATGCTGCTGTTTCACGACGGACGGTAGAAAGTAAAGGAGGTTCGACTTTGAAAGTGACATCCCATCCCTGACTCCAAGGCCTTCAAATTACAGAGTTAGCACATCTAAAGCTACTCAAGCTCAAGAAGTTGTCCCTTCGGTGATGCAGTCACATTTCTATGAAGCTATGACAACTGCTAACCCTGTTTCTTTTTCAAAAAGAAATATCCCTCCATACTGTGGAAAATCTGGAAAGCATAACTGTCCTCATTCATCTAAAACCACTAAAGACCACGTGGTCGCGATCAAATCCATTCTTCACGCCTGAATATATGTCCCGCTCTCATTATCACCATCAGTGCCAAAGATCAGAATTCACAAAATGCTGTTCCTGTCCTCCGAAAATCGCGCCCTAATTTACATGTTGGAGCTTTGAGTATTCAAACTTTATATCATATTGGACAACAGGCTTCCTTAGTTAGGACTCTAGAATTTCGTGTTACTGATGCATTCTGTCTCTGAAGTGCACATATCCTTTCCTAGAGTAGTCATTCACTCATCTGACCACTGTGGGGAGCCAAAGCAAAATATCCTTCGTATTATCTATAGACGCGACAGCAATCCTTTGTGGCTATCAGTCAGTCAGTCATCAACAACGTAGAGCTTCGTACGTACGTACATCAGTTCGAGTTGCCATACCACATTAACAGAGATGTAATTGTCGATTCAAATCCCGTATTGGTAGACGTAGTAAAAGTATGAGCAGTAATAGGAAAGATTACGGTTTGAAGATGTTATTGAAAGACTATAATCCAGTAAAATAAATATGGGAAGATGAAAAAAGGCACTGGCACAATCAGTGATTGATACCAGTCAGATTGGATTACGTCCAGTTCCCAGATTCTGCCTAAGACCTCAATCAATTTCACTGCTAATACTGGACCGCCATCCTTTGTGGCTGTGGCGGTGCATGTATAGAACTACGTTTGAATGTAGAATAGGGACTTGACTAGATTCCTATCGACAGTCGCCTACCTTTTGTTTTTCTAAACAGTGCAGTAAGAACTCGGAAACATGCTCAATTGTTTCTTCGTCGTTTCTGTCTGTACCTCCAGTGGCTGCATCTCCGATTGAGTAAAAGATGAGCTTTACAGAAAGTTTTCCAACCTCTTCCAAAAAGTCAGAGTTTCAGGCGTAGTAATCGTATCAGTTGAATTTAGTACAACGGGAAGACTCCTGAGATATCTGTTCAAAGGCAAAATGGTCAAGGATGCAACCAAAATGAATTAGCTAAGCATCTAATCAGTTGTAGAAAGACACTTCTTCCTGGAAAAGTTTAGGATGATATTCAGACAGCTGTAAACTACATCAATAAGACCTACCAACAACTCAGATCGACGGGTCAGTTAATATCAGCAAATTTTGTTGGCATCTTTTGAACTGGTAGATGCCTGAAAAACTCATCCTAACAGGCTCAGGAAATGATAAATAGCGCCGAGACCTCAAGTGTAGACCAACGAAAATTTGACACAGTGGTTATAAGCAGTAGCGAGCAACTAGAGCGAAATAGATGGAAAAGGCAACGGCGATATGTAACGCTAGATGATGATTTCGTACTATGAAGAAAACAGGTATTTAAAAGTAGGCTTTTAGTCAGTCAAAAGAATACAGAACCTTTATTTACTCTCAGTCCAGGAGAGAACTGTTCATTTCAGTTACGCTCTATCCCCTGTCAATTTAATGCAAATTCTCTAAATCTTAATGAGGTTGAGAAGGCTTTAGGTGATCTAAAGTGAGCGAAGGCATTCGATCTTGATAGATTAATGCCTCAGAACAGTAGAGTGGCGGTCCAGTTTTAGCAGCTAAGCTGACAATCTCTCTTATTTGCTTTGGTGATAGGTGTCCTCCTATAAATTGTATTCTCTTCGTCTTAATTTTCGAGAATTAATCGTCTACAAGGAAATATATTTGTTGACTTGGAATACGTCAATGACATGGTTCTGTTTGGTAAAAATGCTGACTAAGTCCGAATTCTTGTCGCCCTGAGCAATATTTCAAGGATGTACGGGATGCGCTTCTCTTCTACTAAATACAAAACATTGCTTCATCACTGATTGGCACCAGTTTCCAGATTGGTCATGGGTTTAGAAGCTTAGTTGGTCTTTGGTAACTTACGTCACTTGTGATTTGGACAAGTTGTTCGTATTCTGATCTAAGGGGATGTCTACTGTGCAGCGATCCTCTTCGTATTGCTTTATTGCCATGAAATATGGTCTATGAAAATAAGGGACATCTTTGGTCATAGGTATCTTCAAAGTATGATTCACTGGGACGACTGAGGTGGCAGTGTTCAGGTTGGGCACGGTGGAAAATTGGTTGATAAGGTGATGAATCTTGACCAACCGAGGTGGTTAGAATGTGTGTTATACCTAACCACTGTTTATCTCGTTAGACAATGTTTGGCTTCTTTAGAAGACCAAGATATGGCACCAGTCTACGAAGTCATTGACCGTTGGTCTGGGTCATGTTGGTGGATTCAGACTAACTGGTTAGGGTCCACGTGATTATCATAACCAACGTTCGGAAACTTTGTTTCGTATGGCTCAAAATTGTTCACAACGGTGCAGATCCATTCACTCTTTATCATCTTCAAGATATTAAGTTTCAATGCTTTTCCGTACATACTCTTCCACTGTCTATTCGGAATTTTTTCTCAATCCTCACTTGTTCTTTTTGCCATTGGTACTATATTATCTCGACCTCTTTTGCTATTCATCTTTTCGTGGTAATGGGACATGACAACTTGGCGCAATGCATACTTTTATGAGGGCTCTATGTTGTTGATGACTGATTAATTAAATTGATGTGAAATGTAATCACGATTTTTAATTAAAAGGTCGTGAATAGAATGTTCTTGACGTACATAAACATGCTAAGGTTTAAGCTTTTCTAAATTATTTTTTAAAACACCAAAATTTGTTTGTGAAGTGACCGTTAACAAGATGGTGTTTACTATAAGCGTTAAGATTTAAGTATGTGAGATGATTAGGTTTTACAGCTTGAAAACTGAATCTGCGTGGGTAAGCAGGAATTATATTGCATATTTTTGGTCTAATTCAATCTCTAATTGTTAAATATAGTTATTATATAAATTTGTACTGTTATCTAACTTCAAACTAATGAAATTAATCTAATTGCAGAACTAAATGCAATTTGTTGTGGTTACTTGAATATCAAGTATTCAGTCAGTCAGTTATAGTCAGCATAAGATCTGAGATAGATATTCATTACCTCAAATTACTACACTTTGTCGACAGTAGGATGAAATTAACACTGCGAAATCGTTGAAAAAATGGTAAGATTAAGCATATGTAGTATCACTATCTGCACAAATGTCTCAAAGCGAAATACGTAAACTCTGCACTTAGTAAATTAATTACACTAAAAACAATGTCTACATCCTTTTACTGAGATTACGAACCGATCAATGTTGGACAACTATCGAAAACCTAGAAGCACTAGATGACTGCTTCGTTCTAATATTGGACTCCTCATCAGTGAGCGCTCACAACCTCATATGCGGGAATTAAACCCAGGGCATTCAGTCTCTTACGAACACTTAACCCATAAAACATTAGATCGGCATCCAGCAATGTACAAGTCTAAGTCCAATCAATCTATGACATTACACGACCATCCTTCATTGTCGTCGGTGGATATCTGTCTCGCACCTATCACGGTTTAGCTCCATTGGTCACGGTTTCTCACCAGAACTGCGGAAATGTCCTCTCGAAGCTAGTGACTATTGAGCACACGATAATTGTCAGTATAGTGTCGTGGTGATTGTTGAATTTCATTCAAGTCATAGATGCACACTCCTGAGGTTTCTCATACCAGCACGAAACGGTCGTCCAGTACTTCCATGCCTTCAATGTTAGTCTAACGTTGGTTTATGATTTCAACGAAATTCAACAATCTCTACAACCCTATACTGACATACACATTCTTTGTCTCGCTTCCCATATATAGATCTATTTAACTATGATGTTGATTTTATTGTGTTTTTTATTAGCTGAATCGGCGGTGTATAGTTTCGGCTTTTACTATATATCAGGCGGTTTAGTTTTACATTCAACTTAATTGGTATTCTTTGTTATCTATGCATCTATTTGACCTACAAACACCAATATAGTTTGCAGAAAAAAAGTATTGTCACAACCAATTTTTAAGGGTCATAGCAACGCATTAGCTCATTGTACTTGTCAATCTGCTAGTCATTGGTAAAACGTGCTACCTGCAGTTTTACTAAGTGTATGTTTAGGTAATGTTTTTTTGTACTTCGAATCAAGAGAAGAGTTAAAAATTTCAGTTGTAGCTAATAACTTCAGCCTATATTTGTTACCTTTTTTTAATCAAAGTCGACTACATGTCATTATTATTTGGAATTTGTCAAAATGAAGTATCAATTCATTGTATATAAAGCGTTTTAACACAGTCTTATTTAAAAGTGGACACAAAAACTTTCACCTATTAAAGTCTAAATAAATTTTGTTGTTAGACATTATACGTTCTATCCCTAAAATTTTCGAATCATTTTCTCTTGATATACCTTATTCAATCAATTTTTATTTTTAAAAATTTATTGTATTATTCACCGGAAAATTGAAAGCATTGACAAAGCATTTAAATAATCCACAAGCTTAAAACTGGATAACATAAGTGGAAATAAAGTTTGTAAAAGTCTGATTGCTACATATATTCTTCAAACTCACTTATTGTGTTATATTCCATGATATATGATCAACAAAATCAATTCGACTGAATAACTGATCAGCTATTTTCTAAGAGATTTTCGCCGTTAATTTCTTCCCGATTCGAAGCTAATACTTCTAAATCGACTTTAACATAGTAGTAAATTTAAACCAACTAGCTAGTCAATTTTTAAACTCTCAGTATAGGGTTGTGGAGATTGTTGAGTTTCAATTGATATCATGAATAAATGAATGTTAGATCACCATTGAATTCTTGAAAGCACTAGACGGCCATTTCGTCCTAGTATGGGACTCCTCAGCAGTGCACATTCACGATCCCGCAAGCGGGACTCGAATCCAGGGCGAAATCTTAACCTCTAGACCACTGAGCTGGCATCCAACTGTGTTAATGTTTAACTCCAATCGATCCATGATCTTGTGCAACTATTCATCAATTGTATGGGGTAGATACCTGTTTCTACTCAACACGGATTGGACTACACTAGTATCGACTTCTCACTAGAACTCCAGAAAACTCATCTTGAAACCAGTCACTAGTGAGCACATGAAAATTATTAGCATAGTGTTCTGGAGATTGTTGCCTTTCAATCGATATCGTGAATGAATGAATGTTAGACTACCATTAAACTGTTATTAATATGATTTCACTTCAGATTAATCAAATCTCTGAAACCATAAGTCTTCAAACTATAATCAATTATGTGTTTTGTTTGAAGACTTACTTTAACGATGAGTTGATATATTAATATTTATTGAAATGACGTCATCATATTTAACTTATGAACTTATTGTTAGACAAACAAAGCGAAATTAACTTTGTTATGCCATCTTATTGAAAGGATTGTAGTGTTTATTATGTAACAATAAGTGAACAATGGTTCACTTTATTTCTTTTCAGAGATGCGATAATGATTGATTGGAAACAATCTTAGGTTTTTCTTTTGTACTAGAATTTATTATCATGGCGTATCCAAAGCTTCTTTAAGCAAGTTTGCACCATATGAAACTCTAGCTCTAATTAGTTATCCCTTCAATTTAATGTTTTCGAATTTATTTATTATTTATTTTAACACATAGGTATTGGTACAAGGAGGCACCAAATACATATGCGCCACACGAATCTCAATTGATTTGTGTGAGGGCTGTGATACTGCTCGGGTGCCCAAACCGAAGCAGGTGGTTTTCTTAGGGGGCCACACCCTGATCCTTTGACCTGAAGATCTGATCCACAAGGCAGTGGAGCATCGTAAGGAGATGCAATTCCATGGTAGCCGGTGACCAATGATTGGTTCATACGCCATTTGTTCCTTCAGGATACTGGAGCCCATGTGCACCATTGGTTTGGGATCCGGTTAAAGCGCCGGACATTCGCTTTTCGTCCTCTCATTTTCGTAAACAACACCCCCGCCACGTGAAGGCAGTGAGTAGGACTTCCCTGGCAGGGGCTATATACGCATAGCCATGTGAGAGCATTTCGAGAGGGAGAGCGGACTCTCCCTACTCTCGGCCATACCAGGGCATTTGGGGGCAAGGTTTTCGAAACATCTCAACAATAGTATCACTGGTTACTGCTCTAAAGGTTACAGGTTCAGGTTAAATAGAGCAAATCTCAGTTCCCTAGATGTTGTGAACACATCTCACTGATATGTTTCAGTAGCTGCAAAATCCATGGCAAAAGCATTTTCAACACTAGACACTTCAAAGTCAAATCATTCAGAATAATAATCATATTACAAAACTTGTTCAGTAAACTTTCGCTATTCACGAGGATTGTGGCATTACTTAGATTGTTTTCAAGCAGCCGATTCCCATAAATGATGTTTTGATTAATATTCTCATGCATTTTGTTCTATTTTAGTCCAACGTTGTTGTTTGTCGAGCATAATAAGACAAAACCTGAGGGTAGAGAATGTTTCCTTACACAAATTCCTTCCGAATTGGCTAGTCAGTCTTCATCAGCTACTTCTGTAAATACAACTAATTTGAATCCAATTTGTGTAATTTGTGGTGATAAAGCCAGTGGTAAACATTATGGTGTGATTTCATGCGAAGGATGTAAGGGATTTTTTAAACGAACAGTGCGTAAACAATTAGTATATGTTTGTCGGGAATCAGGTCAATGTCCTGTAGACCGACGGAAGCGTACACGTTGTCAGCATTGCCGTTTCGAGCAGTGCTTAGCAAAGGGAATGAAGAAGGAAGGTAAGTCATGATGTAAAGCATTTAGCGTTTTGTGTAACTGAATTTAACTACTTTGTAAGCGGTCTTTCTTCGATATTGAAAACCAATAACTACGTTCTTATTGAAAACATGTCTTAGTTTAGATCTTAACATAGTAGAGTAAAATAAACGGATTTTCCGAGAGAAATAATAACATTGCTACTGATAGCGAATTCGAAAATACCAGTTCCTAAGGTTTTGGTCATCCAACGGAACTTTAATGTAAACTTTTCTGTAACCTACAGACCAGTAAAATACATTAAGTAACTGACTATTTGTCTGTTTTATTGAAAGGGAATTATTTGCATAAATTTAATGTTTAATGATTTTTTTCCCCTTATGCTTAATTCTACTCCCCTAGTTTGACCATTAGACGATTGTACTAAACGCATAAAAATAGTTAGCTAAACAGAAAATCTATTAGAAATAACGTAGAAATTTAGGATTTTACACAAACCCGTAATAATTTCTCACAGACAGATATAACTTCCTTATATGACCACTGATTTCATTATCTTATTGTTCTTGTGCTTCCTATATATATATATATATATATATATATATATTACACTAACTTTTTCTCACTCCCCTCCCATTTCACATATATTATATCCTTCTATTTACATATATTCTTTTGTAATGTCTGTTGCTACCATAAAACCAAAATTGATACGTATTATTATATTTTCCAGCTGTTCAAGAAGAGCGTCATCGTCAACCATCATCAAATCCAGTGCCTTCAATTTCTAAGCCGCCAAAGAGTGAAAAGAAAGGTCCTGGGCGTCGTTCAGCATTTAGTAACAAATCTGCTGACTCAATTGTCACTGATCAACATCCGAACATTAATCATGATTCGACACCTAGTATTTCTACAACCGTTACTACTACTGACTGTGTACAATCTAATCAAGTCAAGTCAGAAAGTTCAACTACCTGTATTCAATCTAATGATGTACTGTTATCCGACGAAACAGATCTGCCTAATTTAACATTACGATGTTTACTTTCGGCTGAATTAAGTATGGATCCTAAATTGGCTGTATCAGAAAGAGGCGAAGCAATTTATGAAGATATACCTGGTGATGATGATACTGGTTTACATCCATTGACTATAATCTGTCAGTCTATTGAACAACAATTACCTCGAATAGTTAATTGGGCACGTCAGTTACCAGTATTTTCATCTGCTTATCTTAGTTTTGATGATCAGTTCTGTTTAATAAAAGCTGGTAAGTACTGTTTTATTGAATAAAACTCATAATTATACAATGATTATAATGATTAAGTTGATATATATAGCTTATTAGTGTATGATACTTGACTTTTCACATGATTTCAGTTTCCTAGTCTCTTCTAATATCTATGGATTTAATCAGTGGATCAAATTATCACTAGTTCATTAATTTGTACTCAGATATATAAATTACACTTTTTTTAAATTCATGATAAATAATGTGAGTAGTAATCTAATATTATCAAATTTTGCAAACAAAAAAATATATATTTCAAGATTGTTTATTTCATACACAACTAACTAACATTCAATTTCTCTTTATTCATTATTTCTTTCTTTTATATGCTTGTATTTATTAATACAATTATTGTAGTTGGGTTGAATTAATAAGAAACCTTCGATCATTTTCAATTTGTTTCATTGAACAAATTATGATGTTTTGTTATATAAAGAAACCAAATATTTAAACGTATTATAATGTTTTATTTTTATGGTTAACAAATTATAATTGGTTATTTTCATTCCTTATTTGTTCTTTTTTTTTAAAGCTTGGCCTGAATTAGTTCTAATCAGTTCAGCATATCATTCAACTGTTATTAGAGATGGTCTGCTTTTATCAATTGGACGTCATCTTGGTAGAGAGGTGGCTAAATCACATGGTCTAGGCCCTCTTGTTGATAGAATTCTTCACGAACTTGTTGCACGTTTTCGTGATTTATCGTTACAAAGAACTGAATTAGCTTTACTACGTGCTATTATTCTTTTTAATCCTGGTGAGTTATCTAGTCAGTTCTTTTTACAGTAATTTACTAATAATCGTTTCCATCGTACTGAATAGTAAATTAAAGAAATGAAGTCGAAGCTATTGTTTTTGAGTGTGTCATTATAATTCAGATGATTGGATGACTTAGTATTATGTCTATTCTTTTGCTATTAATACTTGTCTTGGAACATGTAATCTTCTCCAAAACACTTGTAGGTTTTGATATACTTTAAGTGAAAAACTATCGTTGTTGCTGTATCTTTATCTATATTTTGTAAATTTCTCCGATAGTTGTTTCCTTTGATAGTTCTTAACTTATCCATGATCTGTGTCCATAGCTTCCTAAAAATATATCAGACCACGTATTCTCACGAGAGCCATAAGAATAGTTTTTAACCAAAGAAGTGAATGTCCACTCCTTTCCACTTTTTAATAAAGCTACCATGTTCCTTGGATCGTGTAGTTGAATTCCTTACCGTGTACGGAAATCCATGAAAAGTTCTTGAACTAAAAAAACACTCATTTAATATATATTTATCCACTTGAGATCATCGAATCACTTTGCGTTTACCTATCAGTGTCCATTCCAGAAACTTGATCGAACATTGTATATTTATGATCGTCGGTGTTGTAAACATCCGTATCTTTCACTCATTCAAACCCTACTTACTTTCACTTGTGTCTAAGTAATCTATGAAAATATTTAACTCTTTTGTTTCATTCATACATCGTGGGTATGCTGTTTTTGATCGTATGTGGTGTCATCTTGCTTATTACCTGGTTGTCGCGATTAAACCTTTTGAATTTTTCATGACAACAGCTATTTTTTTAAACTTACAAGAAAAAGAATTAATAGTACCGTCGACCGTATTTTATTCATTTCCAACCTACTTTTGATGCTTTAATGTGAACTCTTACATCATCCAACTTTTTGTATATATCTGTTGTTGGAAATCAAACATTGTCGATCTTATCAAGACTGTTAATTTATATTTGAGTTTTCTCTCGTTATTCTTTTAGATGCTAATGGCTTATCATCACGTCATCGTGTAGAAGCTGTCAGGGAGCAGCTTTATTCAGCTCTCCATTCGTATTGTACAACTAATCAACCCCAAGATACTTCCCGTTTCACAAAATTACTACTAAGATTACCTCCTTTACGATCCATCGCATACAAGTGCCTTGAACATTTAGTATTTGTCAAATTGGCAGCTGAAGACCCAACAAGTTGTCGTTTGATCAATCTTGTTGAACATGGTGTTTGGCCCATACAAGAGAAAAGCTTTGAAATTGCAACGTTACCATCCGATAGTGCATCTACGGACTCAGTGCCAAGTCAAATTACTATGGTCCCTACTCCTCAGTACATTCAACATCAAGATGATAATTCACTACCAACCAGTAGTCATTCTGATCTCTCCTACACACACACATTGCCAAATTTTCATACAGTTCAGAATTATCCGTTTTGAAAATACAACTATTAAAGGCAGGAGTCAACAGCTAGAAATTTTCTTAAGCTCTCACAATGATATATATCAGATCTCATGTTATGCCTATCAACTACTGCCTCATCATCATTATATATGATTATTATTTTTATTGAATGATTTTTCGATCAATTGTCTTTTCCATTCTTTTTGTTTCCTTTTTGTAGTCAGTTTAGGAAATGAAATATTTCCAATATTTAAATTTGTGTGTATGTATATCTTACAACTAAAAAGGTAGTTACGTAAATAAATGAGTGTTTCTCGATACTCACATGACCATTATGAATTCCATTCATGGCTTTTTATTCTTTGCCTGAAACCTGTTGCTCACTTTGAGAAAAAAGTTTGCTTGTTAATTTTTTTCTAATACTCAAGATTGTTAGTTCATGATTGTTGATTTTGTATAGTTCTCATATGCTTGTATATATATATTTATATATATGTATGTATATTTTTTTAAAGAGTTGTTTTAATGCGAGCTTCCTCTTTATTTTAATCCCAATACCAGTCGTATGGGCGTATAATTGATAATGTGTTTTTGGTTGATAGAAATAGTAATTCACCGGGAACTTGGGCATGAACCTCACTCGCATTGTGATGGCTAATGACACAACCACGTTATCCATACTGAAGTGGAGCGAGGAGAACCTTAGATTTAGTGGCTGAAAGTCCAACCCATTAATCACTTAATAAATGGGTTAGTATATATAGGATAGTATAGGAGCAAAAGTAATAAACTGTGACCCACGAATTTCATAGATGTTAGTGTTGCTAAGTCGATGTAATAAGATACAGTTATATGAAAAAAATAAAAAGTACGTGAAAAATCTTGGAGATCTTTAATTGCTCTAGAATTCAACCAAATCCAAAGACGCTTAGATGTTATTACTTAAATCTAATTGATTATCTGAATTACTATAATGCTGAAATACTAGAAAATATCAATTAAAGAGTATGTTGTTGAGGAACTTCCAATTTATTTAAAAGAACAATTATTGAGTTACTTTGTATGTCTGAATGTACAATAGGTTCTAGATGATGAGACGTTGAGCCTCAGGATTATTCATGTAACGTCATCAACTTTACATTTGCAGTTGAGAGAGATGGGCTTTTGCTAGCTACCATTTTCATCTTGTCTTCAATTTTTCTATATCTATCAGTAGATTCTTGTAAATAGGTTATATGTCTTGAGCACATCCTCAACCTTTATAAATCCTGTCTCAAAATAATCGACCTTTTATTGTTTTTGTCTAAAGAGTAATTAATTAATAACTAACTATGATTTTAGCGATCATAAATATTTAAAAAAAGTTGTTTTGTAATTATCAGCTGGTTAATTCAGTCAAACCTTCTGATCTGAAGTGTAGTTATGTTAGTTTTCTAACTCCATATCATTTGTAATTTATCTCGAAATATCAATTCACATATAAACCTATTCCATTTAAATATAACATACTAGATCTTTTAACAACCAATAATTCCATTGGACGGTACTAATATAGTGAATATGAACACAGGCGGGGACAACCAAACGTACTTCAATACAAGATTACAGAGTTCTTTGGTAAAACCTGAAAACAATACATTCGATACTTCGTTTGTAAAAACTCCATCAATCGTTTTAACTTTCACTATTCCATCATTTGCGTAACAATTACTATCTGTTCCCGTTCTCATTGATCCGATCTTCCTAACCTTCTACTACCAGGCATTCTATTTCTGATTGGTGATATATACTACTTATATCTGCCGACATGAGTAGCACATACCACACAAACAATCTTAAATTTATACGCTGTAATCTTAAATGATGTATTTACCTTGACTATCCTATCAGTAATAGCAATTTGAATTTATAATTGCAGATCGTGATGATGATTTCTATTGAAAAGAATATTCTTCGTTCAGCTCATGTATTTTTGTGTGAATTTGAGAAAGCCTTCTGTCGTATTACGAATTATAAAATTTCATTTATTTAATTTCTGGATTCCACTGCTAGCCATAATTCATGTTTTCCTAAAATGCTTGTAAATTACAGGGAAAGTTAGGAGAAATCTACACAGGATGTACATATCTTAAAAGAGATTGATTATTTGTAGTCTTCAACATCAATGGGAAGATCCAGACAAACGATATATGTTTTTATTAGCATAGAGGTTTGTGGAGATTGTTAAATTTTCTCAGTTTACATCACGGACTTATTATATTTGAACAACCGCTGCAAATCCAGGAGCAACGATACATGTTTTTTGCAAATATGGGAGTCGTCATCAGTTTACATCCACCATCACATCGGAGATCGGGTCTTTCAGATCACTAATCTGGCGTTTAATAATCTACAAGCTCAAATTTATATTGTGCAGCCATCTATCATTACCACTGGCGAATAACTGTCCCTTCTATTATTAACTAGTCTAAGATCAGTCCGTAATACAAGTTATATCTTATTCATAACATTATCACTTATGCCTGTTACCCTCGTGGAGGAGCATAGGCCGTCCACCAGCATTCTCCATCCAACTTCGTGCTGAACAATACCTAGTCTTCCTCTTCCAGAGTTTCTCCACCAAGTGTGATTGCTTTGGTGTTCTCTGTGTTGTATATGAGGATCCTACTTTTCCTCTTGTGCTGTTTCGTAGTCAATAAAGTTGATGTACAGTGGTGAACTCCATATATAATGACGGGTTTCATTAAGTTGATGGTCCAACGATAGTCTGTGGTGTCGCGATTTGGTCTGTACACGACCGATTCTTGAGTATTTCGGTCTGTTAATTTCGAAGTTGGGCGTCTACTTCTTCTCTCATCCGGTTCAGCAACACTTGAAAAACTTTCCTGGTAATAACAGTGTGATGCATCTGTAGTTCTCTCATTTTCTTAGATCTCTATTTTTGTGTATCTTGATGAGGTATCCTTTCTTCCAGTCCATCGGCATTTGTTTTCCTCCCAAATCTTCCTGAATAGAGTGTGAAGCATGTTTGCAGTCACTTCTATGTCTGACTTTAGCGCTTCGGCTGGTAGATTATCAGGTTCTGCGGCTTCCTCACTCTTGATTTCTTCGACCGTTGGTAGTGTGGCATCTTTAGGTGCTGTCTCGATATCCGGTGGATTCAATGGAGCCGGTCTATTCAAGAGTTCCTTGAAGCGTCCTGCTCATCTGTCTCTGTGCTCTTGAATCTCAGTGACTGGCTTGCCTTCTTTGTCCTTTACTGGTCTCTCTGGCCTACCATATTTTGCTGTCAGTTTCTTCCTTGTGTCGTATATCTATCTCATACTTCCTTCTCTTTTAGCTTTTTCCTCTGTCGTTGCTATCTCTTCCACATATTTCTGCTTGTCGTCTCTAATTCTCTTCACTTTCTTGTTAGCTTCGGGGTTTTCAGCTTGTGCCTCGACTTTCTCTGTCCTTTCTCGGCTGATTTTTGTTGCTGTCTCCTTCCTTCTTGAATTTTCTCGAGGGTCTCTATAGAGATCCATTTCTTATGATGATGCTTCTTGCGGCCCAGAACCTCTTGACAAGTTGAAGTTACTGCTTCTTTGATCTCTTCATATTTTTCCTCCATAGTAGTTTCTTCTTTCAGTAGATCCTTTAGGGCTTGGAACCTGTTTTTGAGAGCTATCTTGAATTGGTTGAGTTGGTCAGTATATTGGAGGAAAGCTGCACTGAACATTTGTAATTTTTCCCCAGTTGTCTAGTGCTTCTTTAGCCTCGGTTTCATCTTGGTAAACACGAGGTGGCGATCTGAAGCTAAGTCAGTTCCTCTCTTGGTTCTCATGTCTTTAACTGACCTTGTGATATTTTTAGTGATGCAAATATGATCAACCTGTTTCTCCGTGGCGTGGTCCGGTGAGACCCCTGTGGCTTTGCGCATGCAAATGTGTCGAAATATTGTGCCGCATATATCCATTTTGTTGAATGCAGATAAATTTGCAAATCCATTACCATTTTCATTCCTTTCTCCCAGTCCATGTCGTCTCATGTTATTTTCATACCCAGTGTTTCCCATTCCGAATTTGGCGTTTAGGTCTCCCCTCAGAATTGTCAGGTCCTTTCCTGAGGACTTTGCTATGATCGATTGCAGCCCCTCGTAAAACTGATCATTGGTGTGTGCATAACTTTCATTGTAATTCCCTTCTTTTTTTTTGAAAGATGCTTTGATTATCCTGGATCCATGAGATTCCCATCTTATAAGTGCTTTACTGCTTCATTGGACAGCATCAGACCAACTCCCTGAGTGTATGGATCATTTTCTTGTTCGTAATCGGAGTACAGTAATATCTCTCCCGTATCTAGCCTTTGTTGTCCAGATTGAGTCCAATGGGTTTCACTGATTCTGATCACCCTCAAGTTGTATCTCCTTATTTCTGTAGCTATTTGTCTGATCTTCCTGGTCTCCCACATTGTCCTAACATTTCATGTAATGTATTAATTATTGCTGTGGTTGTTAGAAGTGGTATGGACCTTGTGACTTCCGAAGAATCCCGGCTTTCATCATGAGGCGTCATAATTCTTCCTTCAAATCAGAGGACAGAGTTTAGATGTTTTCATTTGTTTATTCACGTTAGTGTTTTTTAGCAGGATTGTTTTGTACGGGATGGGGTTGCCGACCCTACGCCCAGACCTCATTACCCAGGCTCCAAACCGGCAGCAACTCTAGTAGAGCAACAGGCAGAGTTGTAGTGGCATTGGGCCCTACCACGAGACAATATGAGAAATAGACATTAAACATTTAACGCGGAGGAATACAGAAGAATGGAGAAGGCGGGGAGAATTTTTTGAATTAGTCCGAGTTGATCGGATGGCATGGCTCGGCATTGCAGGCGTGGTCCCAGCTGAATGTTATCTTGTATCTTCTATTCATATTAAATATATTCTATCTCTAGCCTAAGCTTTTTCTCTATCACGTATTGGTAATTGTTACAATGCAATGAATCTGTGTAGACGATGTTGTAAATTCCACGTAAGATCTTATAGATTAGGCAGTTACATCATGATAAATCTACACCGTAATTCAACAGAGTTATGCATGGATTTACTGAGGAAAAGGTTACTTACCTTGTAAGGGCTTTTACTTTGTCAAGCCCATACAGGTTAGTCAAGCCTCTGGACAGATCAATCCACTCATTCCTCTTAAACAACATTTTTACCCTGTCACTTATTAATCCTGACTTTTTATATGACCTTATGTGTGTGTCATTCTTATCTTACGACGCTTATACCTTATTTTTGTCTGACTATAGATATTGAGTAACGCTTAATTGAATTGAATTGGCTCACATTCCTTCTCAACTGCGCGTCCTTTTCTTTTGCTTCCCTTTCCGATCAATGATTGTACGAAATATACGTACTCAAAATCCATTCTCGTATTTGACTTATTTAATTCCGCTATTCACCAACGCGATTTGAGTCGATAATTACATTTCAATAACAAACAGAAACGATCTAACTAGAGTCAAATCGCGGGCCACTAAAAACTGTTCAAG